GATTTTAACTTTACATTACATGAGCGAGGGAAATCAAGTGTTATGCCCGAAGAACACAAATCCTCCTTTCGGGAATGCATTTCGAATTACCCTTCTCATACACAACTTTACACCGATGGCTCCAAAGAAGGTGAGAAAGTGGCAGCAGCCTGCTGTACTGCCAATACTTGCACTTCAGTCCGACTACCAGACGGCGCCTCCATCTTTTCTGCTGAAGCATGCGCCATTGGTTTGGCCCTCGACCATATCGATGAACACCGAATTAAAAAGGCAATTATTTGTTCAGACTCTCTATCTGTCCTACAGAGTTTACAGTTACGAGATCCTAAAAACACACTCGTACAAAACCTTGCTCTTCGAATATCTCGTATCTTAAAAAAGTCTAAAAAAAAAAATACTATGGATTCCGACAGGGAAGCAAAAAATGCATTGAATCTCGAACAAACAAATATCAAACTACCATACACAGATTTTAAACCCTACTATTCGTACAGCCATTCAAACTGAATGGCAGCAACGCTGGTCTCTCGAGACCACCAACAAACTTTTTAAGATACAACCGAAACTTAAAACATCTATTCCAGTCGGAAAGATCGTAGAGAGGAAGTTGTCCTCGCTCGGCTCCGTGCTGGGCACACATATCCTACTCATTCGTACCTTTTAAAACGAGAAGATCTACCTTCATGCCACGCATGTGACACTCCATTTACAGTGGAACATTTTTTAATAGAATGTTCCGATGGGCCGTTAAACATAAACAAACAAACAAACAAACTGTGATTGTTGTATCTGGCACAGTCAAAGAAGTAATGATAACTTGTTTCCTGTATATAACCACACGCACAAGTTAAGTTGCTAGCATTATTTCTAACTTGACATAGTATAATATTGATTTTTCTATCACCAGAGTTTTTTTACCACTGTCTGAGTATCATTATTAGGTATACTATTAGTTATGTTAATTAGTTTCTTAAAGTGGGGAAGAGATTGAGCATTTAAAATATCTGGGTCTAGCTGATTGTAAAGTCGAAAGGTTGAGGGAAAGAAACTATTAAAGTAGCTCTCAGTTCTACATACCGGGGTGGGGGGGTGGGGGGGTGGGGTAAAAACTCTATTTTGTCTAAGCTGATACCTCACATTTGTTAAATCATTTAAAAAAGGATCAACTATATCATTAAGGTACTTTGGTGATATATTATGCAATATTTTATACAATACAATTAATTTATTTTTTTCCCTCCTATCAGCTAAGGTTTCCAATCCCAATTTTTTGTACAATTTTTGGTGTGATGTACCTCTACGAAGCCCTGTCACTACTCTAATAGCATCTAGTTGGACTGATTCTAATAACAATTTTGATTGTTCAGTGCAATTATCCCAAACTACATTAGCATATTCTAAAATTGGTCTAATATAAGATATATACATAGTGTTAAGTGTACTTCTATCATGTGAGGTTTTAAGACTTCTTAATATATTAATTCTTTTATATGCTGTATCATAAATATTTTGGATATGTTGACCCCATTTACCATCTTCATTAAAAGTAAGACCTAAATGTTTATGGCTAGTACTGTCGGTTAGTGGTTGATTAGAGAAGAAGATTGGAGGGTGATTAGTTTCTTTTTTCCATGTGAAGATCATAGTTTTAGTTTTAGATGCATTACATTTTATATCCCAAGATTTAGCCCAAGATCATATATTCTGCAAGTCATTAGTGAGATTTTGTGCTGCTTGAATGGGATTATCATCAACAATAATATAGAGGGAGGTATCATATGCAAAACGTTTAATGTTACTAGTAACTATATTAGTGGTGTCATTTATATAGAGAAGGAAGAGAAATGGACCAAGGACAGATCCCTGAGGCACGCCTGCACTAATACATTTAAAAGTTGACTGATGTCCTTCTGTAATAACCCTTTGTTTTCTCTCGGACAAGTAGTTCTTAAACCATGCCAGCAATTTTCCTTTATTTCCACAAGTTTCTAATTTATATATTAAACCGTCATGCCAAACCCTATCAAAGGCTTTACTTACATCACAGAAGAAAAATCTAACCTCTTTACCTTTATCTAAATTATTTATAATAGTGTGATATATAGATAATAACTGATTCACAGTTGAGTCACCAGGCAGGAAGCCTGACTGGTGCTCAGAAATAGTTTCAGCTGCTAAAAGGTTTTACATGTTTACATTATATTAACGGTATCTGGGGAGTATGGGGTACATAAATTGGCAATGTTCTTACAGTAAACGGAATGTGGGGGTCGTGGAGCGCATGGAATACCTGTTCGGTTACCTGTGCGGTTGGTTCCAAGTCCAGAACCCGTCAGTGTAATGATCCGGCCCCAGCATTAAATGGTCTCCAGTGTACAGGAGAACCTGTCGACAAGGACGCGTGTACTTTGTCTCCATGCCCAGGTATGAACATACCATGGTTACACCTCTGACATAGATTATTATTTCTGATTATGTTGCCTTAATGTTGTTTTCACATTTCTGATGTAGCAGATATTCCTGATAGAAGAAATTTCATTTTTTGAGATTGAATCATTATCTAGATTTTGTTTCGAGATTAAAGAATGTCGTCTAGCACCTTGAGGTCACCATTACATATCACAAAAACACACCTGATTAAGAAATACGCTTATACTCTATTTATTTAATATCAGTCACAACGCATTGTTTAATGTCCTTAAATTCAGCAGAACAAAGGTCACACCAGATGGATAAAAAAAGGTTTTAATCAAACAATAAAAAATTGGAACGATGATTCAATAAAACTTCAATACCACTTGCTTCTTTAATTCATATATTCAAATATTTTCACTATTACATTTGAATTTAAGTGGATGGAGGATGGGCATCGTGGCGAACCTGGAGCGCGTGTTCCGATGTGAACAATGAAGTTGTCAGAGCAAAGTGCAGAAAGTGCATAAATCCATCCCCACAATATGGCGGTGATTTTTGTTCCGGAAATCAACTGCTGGTGGAGCAATGCCCCACAACACCGGGTTAGTATGTCTCATTATACTGGGTAAGTATGTCTCATTACACCGGGTAAGTATGTATCGTTACACCGGGTAAGTATGTATCATTACACCGGGTAAGTATGTATCATTACACCGGGTAAGTATGTCTCATTACACCGGATTAGTATGTCTCATAACACCGGGTTAGTATGTCTCATTACACCCGGTTAGTATGTCTCATAACACCGGGTAAGTATGTCTCATTACACCGGGTTAGTATGTCTCATTACACCTGGTTAGTATGTCTCATTACACCGGGTTAGTATGTCTCATAACACCGGATAAGTATGTCTCATAACACCGGGTTAGTATGTCTCATTACACCGGGTTAGTATGTCTCATAACACCGGGTAAGTATGTATCATTACACCGGGTAAGTATGTCTCATAACACCGGGTAAGTATGTATCATTACACCGGGTTAGTATGTCTAATAACACCGGGTTAGTATGTATCATTACACCGGATAAGTATGTCTCATTACACCGGGTTAGTATGTCTCATTACAACGGGTTAGTATGTCTCATAACACCGGGTAAGTATGTCTCATAACACCGGGTTAGTATTTCTTATTACAACGGGTTAGTATGACTCATAACACCGGTTTAGTATGTCTCATAACACCGGGTAAGTATGTCTCATTACAACGGGTAAGTATGTCTCATAACACTGGGTTAGTATGTATCATTACACCGGATAAGTATGCCTCATTACACCGGGTTAGTATGTCTCATTACACCGGGTTAGTATGTTTCATAACACCGGGTAAGTATGTCTCATTACACCGGGTAAGTATGTCTCATTACACCGGGTAAGTATCATAACCCTTTGTAAGTATGTCTCATAACACTGGGTTAGTAGGTCTTATAACACCAGGTTAGTATGTCTCATTACACCGGGTGAGTATGTCTCATAACACCGGTTAAGTATGTCTCATAACACTGGGTAAGTATGTCTCATTACACTGGATAGTGTGTCTCATATCACCGAATAGGTATGTCTCATAACACCTGTTTAGTATTTTTTCATAACACCGGGTAGGTATGTCTCATTTCACCGGGTAATTATGTCTCATTACACCGGGTAAGTATGTCTCAAAACACAGGGTTAGTATGTCTCATTACACCGGGTAAGTATGTATCATTACACCGGGTTAGTATGTCTCATTACACCGATTAAGTATGTCTCATAACACCGGGTAAGTATGTCTCATAACACCGGTTAAGGATGTCTCATAACACATGGTTAGTATGTATCATTACATTTGGTTAGTAGGTCTCATAACACAGGGTTAGTATGTATCATTACACCGGGTTAGTATGTCTCATTACACCGGGTAGGTATGTATCATTACACCGGGTAAGTATGTCTCATAACACCGGTTAAGTATGTCTCATAACACTGGGTAAGTATGTCTCATAACACCGAATAAGTATGTCTCATAACACCCAGTAAGTATTTTTTCATAACACCGGGTCAGTATGTCTCATTTCACCGGATAAGTATGTCTTATTTCACCGGGTAATTATGTCTCATTACACCGGGTTAGTATGTCTCATAACACCGGATTAGTATGTCTCAAAACACCGGGTTAGTATGTATCATTACACCGGGTAAGTATGTCTCATAACACCGGGTTAGTATGTCTCATAACACCGGATTAGTATGTATCATTACACCGGGTTAGTATGTCTCATAACACCGGGTAAGTATGTCTCATTACAACGGTTAAGGATGTCTCATAACACATGGTTAGTATGTCTCATTACATTGGGTTAGTAGGTCTCATAACACAGGGTTAGTATGTATCATTACACAGGGTACGTATGTCACATAACACCGGTTAGCATGTCTCATAACACTGGGTAAGTATTATTTCATAACACCGGGTAAGTATGTCTCATTACACCGGGTAAGTATGTCTCATAACACCTGTTTAGTATTTTTTCATTACACCGGGTAAGTATGAATCATTACACCGGGTTAGTATGTCTCATATCACATAATAAGTATGTCTCATAACACCTGTTTAGTATTTTTTCATAACACCGGGTAAGTATGTCTCATTTCACCGGGTAATTATGTCTCATTACACCGGGTAAGTATGTCTCAAAACACCGGTTTAGTATGTCTCATTACACCGGGTAAGTATGTATCATTACACCGGGTTAGTATGTCTCATATCACCGAATAAGTATGTCTCATAACACCTGTTTAGTATTTTTTCATTACACCGGGTAAGTATGAATCATTACACCGGGTTAGTATGTCTCATATCCCATAATAAGTATGTCTCATAACCCCTGTTTAGTATTTTTTCATAACACCGGGTAAGGATGTCTCATTTCACCGGGTAATTATGTCTCATTACACCGGGTAAGTATGTCTCAAAACACAGGGTTAGTATGTCTCATTACACCGGGTAAGTATGTCTCATTACACCGGGTTAGTATGTCTCATATCACCGAATAAGTATGTCTCATAACACCTGTTTAGTATTTTTTCATAACACCGGGTAAGTATGTCTCATTTCACCGGGTAATTATGTCTCATTACACCGGGTAAGTATGTCTCAAAACACAGGGTTAGTATGTCTCATTACACCGGGTAAGTATGTATCATTACACCGGGTTAGTATGTCTCATTACACCGATTAAGTATGTCTCATTACACCGGGTAAGTATGTCTCATAACACCGGTTAAGGATGTCTCATAACACATGGTTAGTATGTATCATTACATTTGGTTAGTAGGTCTCATAACATAGGGTTAGTATGTATCATTACACCGGGTTAGTATGTCTCATTACACCGGGTAAGTATGTATCATTACACCGGGTAAGTATGTCTCATAACACCGGTTAAGTATGTCTCATAACACTGGGTAAGTATGTCTCATAACACCGAATAAGTATGTCTTATAACACCCGGTAAGTATTTGTTCATAACACCAGGTAAGTATGTCTCATTTCACCGGGTAAGTATGTCTTATTTCACCGGGTAATTATGTCTCATAACACTGGGTAAGTATGTCTCATAACACCGGGTTAGTATGTCTCATTACACCCGGTTAGTATGTCTCATAACACCGGGCAAGTATGTCTCATTACACCGGGTTAGTATGTCTCATTACACCGGGTTAGTATGTCTCATAACACCGGGTTAGTGTGTCTCATAACACCGGGTTAGTATGTCTCATTACACCGGGTTAGTATGTCTCATAACACCGGGTTAGTATGTCTCATTACACCGGGTAAGTATGTATCATTACACCGGGTAAGTATGTCTCATAACACCGGGTAAGTATGTCTCATAACGCTGGGTAAGTATTATTTCATAACACCGGGTTAGTATGTCTCATTACACCGGGTAAGTATGTATCATTACACCGGGTTAGTATGTCTCATTACACCAGGTTAGTATGTCTCATTATACCGGGTTAGTATGTCTCATAACACCGGTAAAGTATGTTTCTCCTGTTTCCATACTCCTGGAGAATGCGTTATCCTGTCTCATCGTTGCATCGATATTGTTCCGCTGTGAACATTCATGTCATTTAAATGAACCAGGATGCCTGCCGGCGATGCAAATATAATATGTAAACGATCTCAGCTATAACAATGAATATGTACAGATACATGCTTTGCGTGGTCTTGCCAGCACGGTGAAAGCTGGAATGACCATCTTAGAAACGGACGATGGCACTATTGAGGATGGAAAGTGGCGAGAATAAAGGTCCATGTTAAGGACAGTGATCAGTAGATTGGTCGCTAATATCAAATGTCATTCCACTGATATAAAACATATATTACGAACACGTTCAGGTGCATTAGAAAGCACATAGTTCATGACGTCACCACAATACAGGTACAGTAGAGGACAATATAACACATAAGTAACATTTCAAAGACCCAAACAATGACCATTAGTGGCGGCAGCCACATAACAGGTTTCAAAACTGATACAAAAGTTATTATTATACTGTATATCTTAACCTTTGATTTGGGTAAACGATTCCAAACACTTGTGTCATGTATAAAGATACATATTTGTAAATATTAACTATCGTTTGGTGTATAAAGATACAAACTAAATGTGATTCTTAATCCTTTCTAATATCAACCCTTGTTTTGTGTAAAAATAAAAGACACTCGCTTGTTAGTCTATACCATTGTTTGGAGTTAAAATTACACAGCTGCTAATCTCAATCCTTGTTTTATATTCAAAATACATAATTGCTAATCCCAACCATTGTTTTATTGTTGATACATACTTGCTAATCCCAACCATTGTTTATGTATGATGATGCATACTTGCTAATCCCAACCATTGTGTTATGTGTTGATGCATATACTTGCTAATCCAAACCATTGTTTTATGTATGATGATGCATACTTGCTAATCACAACCATTGTGTTATGTGTAGATATATTTTTGCTAATCCCAACCAATGTTTTATGTATGATGATGCATTCTTGCTATTCCCAACCATTGTTTTATTGTTGATACATACCTGCTAATCCCAACCATTGTTTATGGATGATGATGCATACTTGCTAATCCCAACCGTTGTTTTATGTATGATGATGCATTTAGTTGCTAATCCCAACCATTGTTTATGTATGATGATGCATTCTTGCTATTCCCAACCATTGTGTTATGCGTTGATATATTTTTGCTAATCCCAACCAATGTTTTATGTATGATGATACATATACTTGCTAATCCCAACCATTGTTTTATATATGATGACACATATACTTGTTAATCCCAACCATTGTTTTATGTATGATGATGCATACTTGCTAATCCCAACCATTGTGTTATGTGTTGATACATACTTGCTAATCCCAACCATTGTGTTATGTGTTGATGCATATACTTGCTAATCCCAACCATTGTTTTATGTATGATGATACATATACTTGCTAATCCCAACCATTGATTTATATATGATGACACATATACGTGTTAATCCCAACCATTGTTTTATGTATGATGATGCATACTTGCTAATCCCAGCCATTGTTTTATGTATGATGGTGCATACTTGCTAATCCCAACCATTGTTTTATGTATGATGATACAAACTTGCTAATCCCAACCATTGTTTTGTGGTAAATTTATGCACTTGCTTATGTCAATTCCTGCTTTGTATAAACAAATACACACTTGCTAGTGTCATCCTTTGTTGTGTGTTGAATATAACACTTGCTAGTGTCATACTTTGTTGTGTGTTGAATATACACACTTGCTAGTGTCATACTTTGTTGTGTGTTGAATATACACACTTGCTAGTGTCATCCTTTGTCGTGTGTTGAATATACACACGTAATTCTCTGTAAAATATAATGTTTGTTTTGTCTTATGTTGCCTAGGATATCTCAAGCGGAAGTGTAGATGTCGACGATCTCGGATGCCTGTGATAAAAAACATCAGTGTGGGGGAGCTAGCCGATATCATGGATAAAACGAAGGAGGAACTTACAGTGGACAAAACGCAAACTGCAGGCAAGTACTGCTCAAAAGGATGAAAAATTCGAGTTACTGCCCTTCCTTTGCTATCTTACAGCATATTATCATTTAACTTGTCTATAATGACCTGATAACGAATACACGATACATAAACACATTTTTTTACCTATGCAGATGTCTATTTCTCAAAATATTTGCAGTTGCTTAGGCATTATTTTTTTTTATTTTTTTTTATTTTTTTTTTATTTTTTTTTGCGATTTAACATCCCAATAACAGCCAAGGCCAAACGTAGATAAGTAAGTAGTGAGAAAAATATAGGCAAGAAAGAAAACGAGAGTAAGGGATCCAACGTGTCCCTAAAGTTAGTGATCCAACGTGTCGCTAAAGTTAGTGATCCAACGTGTCCCTAAAGTTAGTGAGTCAGCGTGTCCCTTAAGTAAGTGATCCAACGTGTACCTAAAGTTAGTGATCCAACTTGTCCCTAAAGTTAGTGATCCAACGTGTCCCTTAAGTTAGTGATCCAACGTGTCCATAAAATAAGTGATCCAACGTGTCCCTAAAGTTAGTGATCCAACGTGTCCCTAAAGTTAGTGATCCAACGTGTCCCTAAAGTTAGTGATCCAACGTGTCCCTAAAGTTAGTGATCCAACGTGTCCCTAAAGTTAGTGATCCAACGTGTCCCTAAAGTTAGTGATCCAACGTGTCCCTAAAGTTAGTGATCCAACGTGTCCCTAAAGTTAGTGATCCAACGTGTCCCTAAAGTTAGTGATCCAACGTGTCCCTAAAGTTAGTGATCCAACGTGTCCCTAAAGTTAGTGATCCAACCTGTCCCTAAAGTTAGTGATCCAACGTGTCACTAAAGTTTGTGATCCAACCTGTCCCTAAAATTAGTGATCCAACGTGTCACTAAAGTTAGTGATCCAACGTGTCCCTCAAGTTAGTGATCCAACGTGTCCCTAAAATTAGTGATCCAACGTGTCCCTAAAGTTTGTGATCCAACGTGTCGCTAAAGTTAGTGATCCAACGTGTCCCTAAAGTTAGTGATCCAACGTGTCCCTAAAGTTAGTGATCCAACGTGTCCCTAAAGTTAGTGATCCAACGTGTCCCTAAAGTTAGTGATCCAACGTGTCCCTAAAGTTAGTGATCCAACGTGTCCCTAAAGTTAGTGATCCAACGTGTCCCTAAAGTTAGTGATCCAACGTGTCCCTAAAGTTAGTGATCCAACGTGTCCCTAAAGTTAGTGATCCAACGTGTCCCTAAAGTTAGTGATCCAACGTGTCCCTAAAGTTAGTGATCCAACGTGTCCCTAAAGTTAGTGATCCAACGTGTCCCTAAAGTTAGTGATCCAACGTGTCCCTAAAGTTAGTGATCCAACGTGTCCCTAAAGTTAGTGATCCAACGTGTCCCTAAAGTTAGTGATCCAACGTGTCCCTAAAGTTAGTGATCCAACGTGTCCCTAAAGTTAGTGATCCAACGTGTCCCTAAAGTTAGTGATCCAACGTGTCCCTAAAGTTAGTGATCCAACGTGTCCCTAAAGTTAGTGATCCAACGTGTCCCTAAAGTTAGTGATCCAACGTGTCCCTAAAGTTAGTGATCCAACGTGTCCCTAAAGTTAGTGATCCAACGTGTCCCTAAAGTTAGTGATCCAACGTGTCCCTAAAGTTAGTGATCCAACGTGTCCCTAAAGTTAGTGATCCAACGTGTCCCTAAAGTTAGTGATCCAACGTGTCCCTAAAGTTAGTGATCCAACGTGTCCCTAAAGTTAGTGATCCAACGTGTCCCTAAAGTTAGTGATCCAACGTGTCCCTAAAGTTAGTGATCCAACGTGTCCCTAAAGTTAGTGATCCAACGTGTCCCTAAAGTTAGTGATCCAACGTGTCCCTAAAGTTAGTGATCCAACGTGTCCCTAAAGTTAGTGATCCAACGTGTCCCTAAAGTTAGTGATCCAACGTGTCCCTAAAGTTAGTGATCCAACGTGTCACTAAAGTTAGTGATCCAACGTGTCCCTAAAGTTAGTGATCCAACGTGTCCCTAAAGTTAGTGATCCAACGTGTCCCTAAAGTTAGTGATCCAACGTGTCCCTAAAGTTAGTGATCCAACGTGTCCCTAAAGTTAGTGATCCAACGTGTCCCTAAAGTTAGTGATCCAACGTGTCCCTAAAGTTAGTGATCCAACGTGTCCCTAAAGTTAGTGATCCAACGTGTCCCTAAAGTTAGTGATCCAACGTGTCCCTAAAGTTAGTGATCCAACGTGTCCCTAAAGTTAGTGATCCAACGTGTCCCTAAAGTTAGTGATCCAACGTGTCCCTAAAGTTAGTGATCCAACGTGTCCCTAAAGTTAGTGATCCAACGTGTCCCTAAAGTTAGTGATCCAACGTGTCCCTAAAGTTAGTGATCCAACGTGTCCCTAAAGTTAGTGATCCAACGTGTCCCTAAAGTTAGTGATCCAACGTGTCCCTAAAGTTAGTGATCCAACGTGTCCCTAAAGTTAGTGATCCAACGTGTCCCTAAAGTTAGTGATCCAACGTGTCCCTAAAGTTAGTGATCCAACGTGTCCCTAAAGTTAGTGATCCAACGTGTCCCTAAAGTTAGTGATCCAACGTGTCCCTAAAGTTAGTGATCCAACGTGTCCCTAAAGTTAGTGATCCAACGTGTCCCTAAAGTTAGTGATCCAACGTGTCCCTAAAGTTTGTGATCCAACGTGTCCCTAAAGTTAGTGATCCAACGTGTCCCTAAAGTTAGTGATCCAACGTGTCCCTAAAGTTAGTGATCCAACGTGTCCCTAAAGTTAGTGATCCAACGTGTCCCTAAAGTTAGTGATCCAACGTGTCCCTAAAGTTAGTGATCCAACGTGTCCCTAAAGTTAGTGATCCAACGTGTCCCTAAAGTTAGTGATCCAACGTGTCACTAAAGTTAGTGATCCAACGTGTACCTAAAGTTAGTGATCCAACGTGTCCCTAAAGTTAGTGATCCAACGTGTCGCTAAAGTTTGTGATCCAACGTGTCGCTAAAATTAGTGATCCAACGTGTCCCTAAAGTAATTGATCCGACGTGTCCCTAAAGTTAGTGATCCAACGTGTCCCTAAAGTTAGTGATCCAACGTGTCGCTTAAGTTAGTGATCCAACGTGTCCCTTAAGTTAGTGATCCAACATGTCCCTACAGCAGATATGTATATATATATATACACGTATGTTTTAAAAGGTCAATCTCATGACGTCACAGTTACATGTCATCACAATAAACAGTAATTTGTTCACTCTTAACTTCTCTAATGTCCTTTTCAGCAATTGGTCGTTGATCAGGATTTTGTTAAGAATTTTTACCATTGTTAACATTCCTTTGATTATGAGTAGCTATGTTGTTTCAAATGCTTGTACAGCTGCTGTAGCCGGGGGTTTCGTACCTGTTTCTCGCTGACAATGGTACCCATCTTGCTTGCTATTTTGTACGGTATACTGTGTTTAGTATGACATGGAAGACAATAACCAAACTGTCGATGTTGATGTGAATCTGTGAAGTCTTTAAAATCCGATAAATAACCTTCGTCTAGTAATATATCAATCGTCTAAAAATGGTTTCACTTTTCGATGATATATAGTTTGAATTATATTTCTCATTTTTTCTTCGATCTGACAATAAAACAAATCTTCTATTTCCCAAGAGTAATTGTGACATAAGTAGGTGCTGCTCTAGTTCCCTAAATCTGTTGTTTATGTTTATTTTTTGAAAATAAAAAAAAATGGTTCCTTTTGAAAACAAGTTCATTTGCTTTAAAAATGAATTTTCTAAATCCGAGCGATGGTGTTATTTCCCATGAATGTTATATTGTGTTCTATTGCTTTCAATCCCATAAAAACAGAATCCTATTGGTGTTATTTCTATTATTTTTGTACATTTCAGTGGCTATCAGTAAGAAAATATCCGCCCCAGATTCTCGGAAGTCCTCGTTTGCTATGGGAATACTTGGTATCATTATGTTCGCCGTTCCAGTCGCCTTCCTTATCGGTATCGACTTGATGAACGTCTACCAATACTTCAAGGGTAGAAATCAATAACGTTTAGACTGTTGCTGCGGACAAGCGTTCGAGATATCGCTCACTAGACACTATCTAAACATAACCAGGATTAGGATCAATGAAAACTCAAAAACCTAGAAATGATGACGTAAGTGGCGACAGCCATAGCTGACTACATTTCGGCCTCAAAAAATGGCCATTTTCTATTTCAAACTACATAGACTGAGGATTAAACAGTGACAGTTGAGCACGTCCTAGAGGTTGTTTAGTTGGTAAAAGGGGCCAACATACCATGTCCTAGAGGTTGTTTAGTTGGTAAAAGGGGCCAACATACCATGTCCTAGAGGTTGTTTAGTTGGTAAAAGGGGCCAGCACACAACGTCCTAGACACTACACTCCAAAGAGTTCTGACAAATGAGAGAGGATATCTTCGCCAGGGCGTACAGGTTCAGATGATAAGTGAAGGAGAAACCTCACCACACCCCAGGCGTTCTGTCGTTAGAGTCACCGAACCACGCTGTAGGCGCTCTAGGGTTTAGGGAAGTAACAACTCACCGTTGGCGTTCTGATATCTGAAAAGGGACAACATAAGGGAAACTTGCCAGGCCCTAAACGTTCAGACTTTTAGACATTTTATTTAACCAACCCTTTGACACAGTGACGTTTGAGAAACGGCCAATTAACCCCGCCTTACGCGTTTTGACGTTAAGAATAAGGACAACTAACAACCACCTATGCGTTCTGACATCTGAGAAGGGACAACTTAGGTACCCAAAGACAATCAGACGTCAGAAAGGAACCCGCTCTTCCACCTCTAGGCGCTCTGATGTTAGCGAAAGGGACAAGTTGCCTCGTTTAAGACGTACTGAATTAAGCCAAAATGACGTAGATGCTTTGATATAGCGATAATTCCAACGTAACACACCCGGAATATTTGGTTTTAGTAACTGCGCAACACATACCTTGTAATTTCAGTTTCCCTATTAGAGAAAGTATATTTTAGACCTAATGATATAGGATATTGCTAACTCAACACGCGCAGACATTCGGACAACTGTCGAGTCCAATGCCTCAACACGCGCAGACATTCGGACAACTGTCGAGTCCAATGCCTCAACACGCGAAGACATTCGGACAATTGTCGAGTCCAATGCCTCAACACGCGCAGACATTCGGACAACTGTCGAGTCCAATGCCTCAACACGCGCAGACATTCGGACAATTGTCGAGTCCAATGCATATTTTACAAAGTTGTCATTTTTATTGATAGTGCTATATTTGTTATAGAATAAACACACTGTCATTTTGACCACTTGTGCGTCATTTGTTACAATATAATCATGCTGTCGCTTTTATTACTTGGGCATCATTTGTTTCAAAATAAACACGCTGTCATTTTTAATACATGGTCGTCATTTCTTACAAAATAAATATGCTATCCTTGATTTTCTTTCAATTTTATTACTTATGTGTCGTTTGATGCAATTTTAAAACGCTGTCGTTGTTTAAAACAAATACTGACATTTTGATTACATGTACTTGTGCGTCGCAATGTTATTTGTTACACATAGAAACGCTTTCATTTTGAATAAGTTTGCGTCATTTCTTAAAATTAAAACACGCTGTGATTTTTATTACATTTGAGTTATTTGTGACAATGGTGCCATACTGTCAGTTTTTAACCTGCATTCATTATTTGTAACAATCTTAACACGCTAAATACGTTATCATTTTTGCATGTGTGCGTTATTTGTAACGATATAAACATGCTGTTATTTTTTAAGGTGTGTGTCATATTTTAAAATAAACTCACACTGTCATTTTTATTACGTGTGTTTTCTTTGGTGCTTTGTAAACATTTTAATAACGAGTTATTTGTTTTATTAACTGTGCGTTCTTTTGTGCTTTGTAAACATTTTATTTTATTTGAACTATTGTTATGACTAAGATCGCGCCATTATCCACGAGGCTATCTCCCCCTAGGGGGTGACTAATAGAATCTTCCCCTTCCTTGAGTGTGTGACAGAAAAATTTCCTACCCGAGGGGTGAATTTTTTGGTTTTCTAACCCGAACAACCAACAAACATTTTTCACACATCTTATGAATTCCCGAGCACGTAATTTGATTGATGCTCCCGATAAAAATCCATGCACTTTTATTGCATTATTAAAAGCTTCATCCTTTGTTTAAAAAAACCTGATATGGACTATTTCCCATCAAAATTGTAGAGCATTCCTGTCGGGAGCATCAATCGAATTACATTTTTTGGGTGCATTGAGATAAACTATATGCGGTGTTTTATGAATGTATTCCTACATATACACCTGCAATATGTAAATAGCGTTTTGAATCAGTAGTGTTACGTTCAATAAATCCAGACTATTTCGGCACATTTAGATAACTATCTTAGATCTAGTATACCCTAATGTCCATAATCAGAAGAAAAAAAGTCCTGGGTATGTGCTGTACATGTACGTTAATATTATAGGCCGTCACATTTGCAACTTTGAACAAATGGCAGCCATCTTCTATTTTGAATGATCCAGTTTGTTATCCCAATTTCTCAAGAAAACCTTGAGCTGACTAAGCTTTCTCGAATTCCATATATAGATTTCTCTTTGTTTATAATTTCTCAAAGCAAAAATATATAGGATTCCCATGGCTCATAATTTGTATCTTTTCTTTATTTCAGGGTTTAAAACTGACTTGTTATTCTTGAACCGTTCTTTAATAAATCAAAATGCCATGCCGAAAAATTGAACGGAGAATTTCCAACTATCATAAATTAAATAAACAAAAAAATCATTTCAAACGTTGTCTCTTTTTTTTACCGACACACCCACTGAAAATGCATGTAGAATCACTCGAGGTCTCTAAGAGTTAGAATGACCATGGGGTAATAATACAAAGCTCACGATCAAGGACACATTGAGTTGTCGGTAATTTGTACTATCAAAACATATATTTTATTGCACAAGAGACCATCTATCAGCAACGCTTTGACACACCTTTAAGCAGTCCAATGCTTCCCGTTTCTTGATAACACATTTTGAGCCAAACTCATACGTCATCCATCCTTTCCCCTATTAGACTGCAAGCAATGCTAATGGAAACGATATATGTTGACTAGATACTCATGAAATGGTCAGAGAAGGATTTCGCCATGGTTATAACCGCAGATTTCACAAAAAGCATCAAATTCATTCATGAGGATGAAATCAACGCCGCAATTCTTTTCCTTGACACCCTACTTGTAACAAAAGATGGCAGAACAATGACAGTATTGGTTGAAGAACAAACACAGACCATTAATTTCAAAAGTTTAAAATACCATCACCATTTTTATTAGAAGTTGGGCGTACATGTAGTAAGCATTTAGCTCACCAGATATGATACGAGTGTCTAGAAATAGCAGGTTAGAATGAAAGAGAAAATGATATCCGGAGCAATGAGACATGCAAATATCCGAAAAGGGTGAATAATATTTCCTCAATAATGTACACAACAAATACACACAGGTTAATTTGGTAATAGATACAGTATGCAAAAAAGGATCTTCACTGCTTCATACAACTCTTTCCTCCTTTTGGAACTCATTAGCGATAATAGGGGCCAAAAGGTTGGACATCCTTATTGACCTAAACTACCATTCAAACATGCGTGTATGATTGACTGGTATGTTCATTGTATTGACATGGTGACGACTCGACACTCGTAATAAAAGATGCACATAAAGACATAATCAAATGCAGATATCAAGATTTACTGTAATATTCCATCATTAAATTTCATTGGTCATTATTTTCATAATACGCATGTACTGGTTGTAAGTCCATGGGGTCGATAGGACCGTTAAAGATAGGAGACATTCCCCCTGATAGGTCGTCAGTTCCGGTTCCGTAAGATCCCTTCTCCGGCGACTGGGGTTCGGGTGTGCTTCCATGGTGACCAAGGATGGTGCTAATGTCCGGAATATCAGGGTAATCTAAAAGATCAAGGGTAATGATCATCCTGTGTGCATGTTAACGTAATAAGCTTCAGTAAATATGTGTACATCAAGTTTATACAGTGGACCACAACTCAACATTATCCTGGAAAAAGGGGATTAGGAATACTACAAATACGCACGCAATCAATCATTTTGGCTGCACTCCTTGCTTTGAAACTCAAAATGCCATTGACACTCAATGTGCGAGAGATGAGATGGAAAACGCTGTAATCCTGTGTTCTTTCCGATAGGATGGACTGCCATATCTGACATCCTTCCCCGTAATTGTTTACTTGGCAAATGCTACTACCAAGCCCTGAACATTACGGATTACATCCAATCTCAAAACCGTAATACTGCAGGTGTCCGTATAGTGTCTCCCTATCTTACCATCATAACTATCCACATCTCCCTCTAATAACCTCTTCCCATATCGCACACACAATGTCTGCCTACTTCCACCTCTAACGCCTCCCAAACCCATCTTGATCATGATGTCTCCCTGCCTCGCCCTAACATTATATCCCGTCCTACCCTCACAATGTCTTCCGACTTCGTCCTCATAATGCATCCTCAATGCGTCATCATCAAGTCTACCTACCTGGTCCTCGTAATAACTCCCAATCTCGCCCTTATGTCTCACTACGTCATCTTCTCAACACCTTTTATTTCCCACACACTCTCATAATATGATACACCGCGCCCTCATAATTTCTCCTGCTACGTACTCACAATGTATACCAACGTTTCCCTCATTACAGTCCTTCCCTGCTGTTATCGTGATAACATTAGATAGGAAGGAAAATACTGAGGAAGGCGAAGGATTGGTAAGTTAGTATGGTCAAAATGAACTAAAATGTAACTACTCACAGTAGTTAAAGATGGTCCGGACAATAATTATGGTAACTTAAGATGGTCTGAACAATGAATATTGTAACAAAAGATGGTCTGGACAATGAATATTGTAACAAAAGATGGTCTGGACAATGAATATTGTAACTGAAGATGGTCTGGGCAATAATTATGGTAACTCAAGGTTGACTGGAAAAAAAGTATTGTAACTAAAGATGGTCTAGTCAATAAGTATGGTGACTAAAGGTAACCTGAACAATACTCACGGTGATTGAAGATGGACAGGTCAATAAGTATGGTAACTGAAGATGGACTGGTCAATAAGTATGGTAACTGAAGGTAACCTGGACAATACTCACGGTGATTGAAGATGGACTGGTCAATAAGTATGATAACTGAAGATGGACTGGTTAACAAGTATGGTAACTGAAGATGGACTGGTCAATAAGTATGGTAACTGCAGATGGACTGGTCAATAAGTATGGTAACTAAAGGTAACCTGGACAATTTTCACGGTGATTGAAGATGGACTGGTCAATAAATATGGTAACTGAAGGTAACCTGGACAATACTCACGGTAATTGAAGATGGACTGGTCAATAAGTATGGTAACTGAACATGGACTGGTCAATAAGTATGGTAACTAAAGGTAACCTGGACAATACTCACGGTAATTGAAGATGGACTGGTCAATAAGTATGGTAACTTAAGGTAACCTGGACCATACTCACGGTGTTTGAAGATGGATTGGTCAATAAGTATGGTAACTGAAGATGGACTGGTCAATAAGTATGGTAAATAAAGGTAACCTGGACAATACTCACGGGTATTGAAGATGGACTGGTCGATAAGTATGGTAACTATAGGTAATCTGGACAATACTCACGGTGATTGAAGATGGTCTGGTCAATAAGTATGGTAACTAAAGGCAACCTGGACAATACTCACGGTGATTGAAGATGGACAGGTCAATAAGTATGGTAACTGAAGGTAACCTGGACAATACTCACGTGTATTGAAGATGGACCGGTCAATAAGTATGGTAACTAAAGGTAACCTGGACAATACTCACGTGTATTGAAGATGGACTGGTCAATAAGTATGGTAACTAAAGGTAACCTGAACAATACTCACGGTGATTGAAGATGGACTGGTCGATAAGTATGGTAACTAAAGGTAATCTGGACAATACTCACGGTGATTGAAGATGGACTGGTCAATAAGTATGGTAACTAAAGGTAACCTGGACAATACTCACGTGTATTGAAGCTGGACTGGTCAATAAGTATGGTAACTAAAGGTTACCTGAACAATACTCACGGTGATTGAAGATGGACTGGTCGATAAGGATGGTAACTAAAGGTAATCTGGACAATACTCATGGTGATTGAAGATGGACTGGTCAATAAGTATGGTAACTTAAGGTAACCTGGACCATACTCACGGTGTTTGGAGATGGATTGGTCAATAAGTATGGTAACTGAAGATGGACTGGTCAATAAGTATGGTAACTTAAGGTAACCTGGACCATACTCACGGTGTTTGAAGATGGATTGGTCAATAAGTATGGTAACTGAAGATGGACTGGTCAATAAGTATGGTAACTGCAGATTGACTGGTCAATAAGTATGGTAACTAAAGGTAACCTGGACAATACTCACGGTAATTGAAGATGAACTGGTCGATAATAATGGTAACTAAAGGTAACCTGGACAATACTCACGGTGATTGAAGATGGACTGGTCAATGCCACAATCTCCACAGCACGGGTGTTGTCCGCAACAATCAAGGCATGCCGATGCCGAGTCTGGCCCGCCGGAGAAGTCCGGAATCAGATGGTTCAGCCCACTGTTCAGATCGTCAATGAAACTCTTTGTCGATACCACACTTCTCTTAGAAGCTACAAAAGCTGTTTTTAAAATAGGATAATATCCTTCACGTTAAAATAATAATTTGAGCAAATTCATCCTTTACTTATTGATATATTTCAATTTCAATGTTTCCACAGTGCTTGTGGGTTTTCTCTGGCATACATGTACGTGATTATTAACCCTGTGGTAGAAACTCTGTGAGATATATGGGTGGATACTTAACACAAAAACACAAATTGACAATTATGAGTGTTTATTTTCTATCAAAATGCATTCTGGGATATAGTCATAATTCGTGTAGTGTCAATATACACATACAGTTCTTAATGGTATACGGTGTCAATACAATGTGTGATACAGTAACTAATAATAACCATTGAAAATAGTGTAGGAATTTATAGTTTTCAGATAGTAGTTAGAAATTGTTTTGAAACAAATATACAATACGCAGGAAATAGGTTGGATACACTAACTGTTAGGGTTGAAGACAGAAGGTTCAGTAAGTCCGCAGTCATTACAGCATCCTTCGCTTTCCCGTCCGCAGCAGGCTAAACAGATTTTCCCATCCATAGGATTTAACTGTAGGTAAGCTGATGATAACGAAAATAATGGATTAACGTTTTACGTCTGTAGGGTTTAACTGTAGGTAATCTGATGATAACGAAAATAATGCATTAACGTATTACGTCTGTAGGGTTTAACTGTAGTTAAGCTGGTGATAACGAAAAATAACCCATTAACGTATTACATCTGTAGGATTTAACTATAGGTAAGCTGATGATAACGAAAACTAATGCATTAACGTATTACGTTTGTAGGATTTAACTATAGGTAAGCTGATGATAACGAAAACTAATGCATTAACGTATTACGTTTGTAGGATTTAACTATAGGTAAGCTGATGATAACGAAAAATAATGCATTAATGTATTCCGTCTGTAGGGTTTAACTGTAGTTAAGCTGATGATAACGAAAAATACCCCATTAACGTATACGTCTGTAGGATTTAACAATAGGTAAGCTTATGATAACGAAAAATAATGCATTAACGTATTACGTCTGTAGGATTTAACAATAGGTAAGCTGATGATAACGAAAGATAATGCATTAACGTATTACGTCTGTAGGATTTGACTGTAGTTAAGCTGGTGATAACGAAAAATACCCCATTAACGTATTACGTCTGTTGGATTTAACAATAGGTAAGCTGATGATAACGAAAAATAATGCATTAACGTATTACGTCTGTAGGATTCGACTGTAGTTAAGCTGGTGATAACGAAAAATACCCCATAAACGTATTACTCCGCCAGGGTCTTTTCAGTAGCGATTCTGTAAATTCGGTAACAACATCCTATTTATTGTATTGTTGAAGTATTATTATGCATGAATTATTACCGTGTAATTCATTGTTTTAATCATTATTTTAAAGTGTAGGTAGATTTGACGATACAGGGCAGCGTATATAGAATATATACCTCCTTGAATAATTACATGATATTAAAATAACTCAGACGTAGAGGATATACCAAATGTAAGTATTACTGAAGTAGATAATGTAATAGATTTTGTCCTTCCTGAAGGAATATGATGTTATTTGTAGGTTATGTTTCGTAACGTGATAATCAACATAGTTGTAATACTATGCGCATGTGTGAAACTATTACATGCGCATGTGTAAAAGCTGTGCATTTTGCATGTTATAGTATTTGTAGGGAGGATGACGTACATGTGTTAATTTCTGTAGTTTTTTTTTTATTACATGTTTGTTATATTACTTATATGATATATTGAGTGTAGGTTATAATAGCTATATTACTTTAAGGTTATATTAGAGTAAGTTTATACTGCTGGTATGTTATGTATCTAAATGTAAATACTAGTTGTAGGTTATAATAGTTATATTACTGATATTATATACTATCTCTAGGTTATATAACATTTATATTATGCTTCTTGTATGTTATGTATGTTTATAGGAAGGAGATGTGTAGGTTATAATAGATATAGGCTATATTACTTATATGTAATACTACCAGAAGTTATATAACATTAAGGTTATAATATTTGTTGGTTATATGACATTAAGGATAATTCATATGCAGGTTATATTATGTTAAAGTTATATTGCTTGTAGGTTACAGTGTATTTTGCATTCAGATTTATATGTGTAGCATTCAAATATTAGTAGATACGCTGAGACTGTTTATCGACTGATTATTTGTGAAATAAACAACTGTGGTATTAATGAAGTATTTGTACTTTAATTTAACTAGATTGTGAATCTTGGAATATTAATACCATAGACGATGCAGAATCACATATGGTTGCATATTTACCATACCGTTCAGAAGACCATCCTTATGGAAATATTAAATCAGATTTCAATCATTTTGTTATCCATATTTAACATTTCGTAACACATTTGTATGTTGTTGTATATGAAACTAAAGGATTTATATACACTTTTCATTTATGCAGCAATTGAAATATAAAATAATCATACGGTTTTGAGTTATAGGATTTAAAAACAAATGTATCGGGGTTTTTTCTATAATATATACAAATAATACCTTGGGTTCCAACGGCAAAAGAAATGAGAGCAAAGAGGAACTTCATCGTGTCAGCTAAGGACGGCACGTATTTGAACAGACACTAGCGAGGAACCAGGACGTAGACCATATGGTAGTCACATGACCTGTGATATCTTATCTCCAACTATAGGACTGTATGACATAACAACACACTTTTCAATTCCATTCAAGTTCTTTGTTCCGTCAGCATTACAGTTTATAAGATGAGATGGTCGGATTGCACTGTCACAATATGGTCCATATCTTCTCTTTTCTTGGACGACTTCTTAAATCATGTTGTTGTTGTCTAAAACAGACGGTTTATTCGAAAGATTTAATATGTTTGGCAAGACACCGGAGTTTGTAGACTATAGACGATATTAAGGTTTGATGATCATTTCGTACAGTAGCCTAAGTCGTCAGACACTAACGGTGGTAAAAAGATAAAACATCTAACTGACTTGTAAAATGTGTAATCTGGGTATCATTGTGCCTGTTTTATGTTACATATCTCTATCATTTTGTTTTTATTAGAGTCAATGACGCCACAGTTATTTTAGTGTGTCTTTGAGCTATCTTACTGTCAATTATTGTATTTTTTATCTTTCGGTTTGTTTTTGCATAGTAATTCCATTTATTATAATTATAACCACGTGTAAACCTAAATACTCGTCGAGACTAGCTAGCTATGATGATGAGTATGTATTCAAAGTTAACCATAAAAATTAAAGAAGAACTTGAAATAATTAGAGCCAATCTTTTGAGGGGGTTGAAGTTAATTAATCATGTTATGGGCAATAACTTTGCTGCATGAAATCATGTTTTTTCTTGTTCTACTAAATTCATGGATAAAGGTGACGCATTAATTCCACATTGTATCGCTTGTATTTCTCTTAATTCATCTCCTATGAATATCTTTTAGCTTAAAGTAATATTTAAAATGTTATTGGTGTGTGGTGAAATTCTTCCGAACCCTGGTCTACATCATGATTAAACTATTCATTTCGTATTATTACAGATTTAAGAAGAGAAACGATTCATAATAATTTATATTAAGAGAGATATTCACATTGTTACTCGTATGCTTTAAAACTTTATATTCTTAACTATAAGACTCATACAAATACAGTTGAAAAATAAAAAAACACATAAATATGTAAAGCATTAACACTTTCTTTAATGCTTTACTTATCTAGCCGTTTATGATTTATGATTTATGATTTTTTCATATATCTTTTGGACAATGAGAACATTATACGTTTTAGTATATATACATTGTATATATGCATATCTAAAAATGGCCCCTTAATGCTGATGACTCTATACAATCATCAATACTAGTTCTTACCACACAATACAATATAAGGTGATACAATACCGAAAGGTTATATCAGAACAGAACCATCCCACCCGTCTATTTCCCAGAATCACACCTTTTGGTGCCCTACGAAGGATTGATTTACGCTCAGCTGAAATTTGTGCTCAGACACCGGTGCTATTAGTTTACAAATTTTACAATTATAACAAAGTAACCAATGACAACTAAACAAATGTTGAAGTAAATGTTTTTCCATTCCTAGCTAATCGGTGGCTCTGTGGTTTATTTGGGGTTTTATAGAGGTCGGAGATTGCGGAGTGTGGCCAAATTGATGTGCTGACATATAGTAGTGGATCTACACACAATGAGACAGACAGACAGACGGACAGACAGACGTTAGTGTAGATACAGTTAGGTGAATGTACACGTGATCAGGCTTAAAAAAGCGTCGTGTGTGGTCATCTACTTTAGGACATGCATATTCGAATTATGTGTACTTGTCTGAGGCGTTTTGTTTCTATTGTTTTCAGTTGATTACGTTAAGTAAACTGCTGCAAGGAATCTTAGATAAATACACCATAGATATAATAGCTTGACACATTATCTCGACCAGAGACCTTCACGTATGTAAACTATGATAATATCATGACACAGTTACTACAAGCCTTGTCAGTTTAAGGAATGTTAAGCTTACGTCAAGGACATTATGATAGAATTAGAATTCATTTTTATGTTGGTGTGTTTCGAATGAACATCTGAGAATATCTCATAAACATTAGAAATTTTAAGGAAAAGTATTCAGTTTTGAAAACTATTTTTTCTGCAGTTCTTAGCTAAAGAGGCTACATGTAACGACACTACAATGATTAATCTATGTACGGAAACCTATGGAGAAGATATAAACACATATACAATAGGCCGTTGTTCTCCATCAGTCACTCGAAATACAAAGTAGGGAACCACCTGTGTATCAATTACGATTGTTGATGTAGAAAGCCAAACACGGTATAATATCGATTTCACCATAAGAGTAACTTGTCCATATAGATCTCATCACTGGCACTACTGAAATCAAAATAATGCAAATAGCTATCACAAAATGTTCCAAACATAAGTAGAAATACAGCATAAAGGTGCCTGTATAACGCTTTATTACGTTACAAATTTGAAACTATTGACTTCACATGATAATTTATTCTTAGAAAGTATTTCATGTCAACAGAGCAAGAATAAATTCCAGCTACAGTGCTACAGATAATCTCAAGGACTGATAGTCTACCAGCAGAGCCAACCATCTTGTTACATTTGTACGATAAATTCTTAGCTAAAGAGGCTACATGTAACGACACTTCAATGATTAATCTATGTACGGAAATCTATGGAGAAGATATAAACACATATACAATAGGCCGTTGTTCTCCATCAGTCACTCGAAATACAAAGTAGGGAACTACCTGTGTATCAATTACGATTGTTGATGTAGAAAGCCAAACACGGTATAATGTCGATTGCACCATAAGCGTAACTTGTCCATATAGATCTCATCACTGGCACTACTGAAATCAAAATAATGCAAATAGCTATCACAAAATGTTCCAAACATAAGTAGAAATACAGCATAAAGGTGCCTGTATAACGCTTTATTACGTTACAAATTTGAAACTATTGACTTCACATGATAATTTATTCTTAGAAAGTATTTCATGTCAACAGAGCAAGAATAAATTCCAGCTACAGTGCTACAGATAATCTCAAGGACTGATAGTCTACCAGCAGAGCCAACCATCTTGTTACATTTGTACGATAAATTCTTAGCTAAAGAGGCTACATGTAACGACACTTCAATGATTAATCTATGTACGGAAATCTATGGAGAAGATATAAACACATATACAATAGGCCGTTGTTCTCCATCAGTCACTCGAAATACAAAGTAGGGAACTACCTGTGTATCAATTACGATTGTTGATGTAGAAAGCCAAACACGGTATAATGTCGATTGCACCATAAGCGTAACTTGTCCATATAGATCTCATCACTGGCACTACTGAAATCAAAATAATGCAAATAGCTATCACAAAATGTTCCAAACATAAGTAGAAATACAGCATAAAGGTGCCTGTATAACGCTTTATTACGTTACAAATTTGAAACTATTGACTTCACATGATAATTTATTCTTAGAAAGTATTTCATGTCAACAGAGCAAGAATAAATTCCAGCTACAGTGCTACAGATAATCTCAAGGACTGATAGTCTACCAGCAGAGCCAACCATCTTGTTACATTTGTACGATAAATTCTTAGCTAAAGAGGCTACATGTAACGACACTTCAATGATTAATCTATGTACGGAAATCTATGGAGAAGATATAAACACATATACAATAGGCCGTTGTTCTCCATCAGTCACTCGAAATACAAAGTAGGGAACTACCTGTGTATCAATTACGATTGTTGATGTAGAAAGCCAAACACGGTATAATGTCGATTGCACCATAAGCGTAACTTGTCCATATAGATCTCATCACTGGCACTACTGAAATCAAAATAATGCAAATAGCTATCACAAAATGTTCCAAACATAAGTAGAAATACAGCATAAAGGTGCCTGTATAACGCTTTATTACGTTACAAATTTGAAACTATTGACTTCACATGATAATTTATTCTTAGAAAGTATTTCATGTCAACAGAGCAAGAATAAATTCCAGCTACAGTGCTACAGATAATCTCAGGGACTGATAGTCTACCAGCAGAGCCAACCATCTTGTTACATTTGTACGATAAATTCCAGCTACTTTGCTACAGATGACCTCAGGGACAGGTAGTCTACCGGCAGAGCCAACCATCTTGTTACATTTGTACGATAAATTCCAACTACTTTGCTTCAGTAAACCTCGGAGACTGACAGGCTACCAGCAGTGCCAACCATCTTGTTACATTTGTACGATAAATTCCAACTACTTTGCTTCAGTAAACATCGGAGACTGACAGTCTACCAGCAGTGCCAACCATCTGATGCAGTATATCGCCATTACGTTCAAGGGATTCAAGCGTCAAAAGAATGCGAAAACGTGTCAAAATAATTCCTAAATAGTTGTATACAGATGTAACATACACAATCGTTATTTTAAGCGCTGAATAGATATTGACTCCGCTATTTGGAACAGCTTTTATGATTACAGTACAAAATACGCAGACACATGTCCAGTATTATTTACGAACTGCACTTGACACGTGTGGGCAAACAGTATCTGAACATGAAGAACTCCTGTCACAGCAAATCACAAGTGAATCAATGAGGTTTACTTTTATTTCATATGTGTACCTCCAATTTGTATAGTTAAAAGTACTGTCCCTTGGTTTTAAATATGTCAACAGACTGTGAATTACCAGTACTTTACTCAAATATTTTGTACCATACTATGAGAGACATTCAATCGTTCAAAACCTGTATGATATTGCATAGACGATACAGTAGCTTGTACTTAAAAATTGCAATATATTGTATTTATTTTATTTTATTTTTTTGAAAATAGTGGAAATAGCTAATGTCAGTATAAAGAGAATAGCATCTGTATATTATTATTCTATTATGGCCCTTTCCCTCGGGAACTGTTCTCTTATAGTGTTGTCTGGGGAGGTATAGTGCCCGAGCCGTTACTATACCTCCCCAGACAACACTATAAGAGAACTGTTCCCGAGGGAAAGGGTCATAATAGATTTAGTACATCACATGACTGTACTAACTGTGACTGCAAATTGTGTCGCCTGCTTCGTTTTCATACATTGCTGAGCCTCTGCAAAGCAATCGGCATTCCCGGTCCCGAATCTCGAAGCCATTTTGGCAGACGACAACAATGAACTGAAAGTAGAATATGTACAGCGCCCCCTAGGAGAAGGGTCGCAACTCTTGGCGTCACGCAGTCTCAGCGGTCCAAAAAAAAGGTATAGTGCCCGTCTCCAGGTATAGTTCCCGTCGTCAAGGGCGGATGCTAACTATACCAAATAGAGCAAGGGTAGTTATCCAATAGCTATCCTAGTAATTATCATGTGATGTACTAAACCATAATAACACACACACTATAAAATGCAGCGAAATTATTAGCCTCAGCACAACAGTCTATGGTTGAACATCATCATACATGCTTTCATGAAGTGCAATTATGATTATTTCTTATCTTATATGGGAGAAGATGGAAGGAACGTAAAGTACTGTAGAATGATATTGTACAGAAAGGAGTGTACGAGAGGAGTATCAAACATTGCTATTCAGGTTTTTTAATTGAAGTATAATGAACACAATAAACGTAATAAATGGAAAAATACTTTTAAATCCACATTCAGTTCACTATTTGATATTGCCATAATAGTTAAAATGGTCTCAAAACGTCATTGTCAAAACCTAATGTAAATATACAAAGGAAGAAGTTAGCTGGAGACAAAGTAATGTCCAAACACTGTTCAAATTTTCTTTTTTGAAAATAATATAAGTGCAAATAAATCCCAGAAAGTCAAATGTTTCATTCATAAAAACTGTTCTAAAGGTGCGTATTCGATAATCATTGTAAAATTGCTTCATAATTATTTTCACAGTGTTCATCCCCAAATGGGGTAACAGGCAAATATAGACTAGAATGAGTGTACAGTATAAAGCTCTTTTTCTCAAGTCCAAAAATCAGGGTTCATTTCATTTCCCATATTCATCATTATAAAGTGTCCTAACATAAAAGCTCTGGATCTACTTTTCAGGTCACGAGGGTCAAATTATGTAATTTTCTTCAAACAGATTAAGTGAATAAAACATTACGTTAGGAGCCAAAAAAATGTCATAACTTTATGTAAACCTTTGCTTTAGCAATACAAGGATAGAGTGTACAATAATTTATCAGAACAAATTGATTAATATAATTTGGTTTAAAAAGGTTGAAATGTTTGCATGAACTCGACGAGATCAAAAGCGGGGTATGGAGGTACTTTTACTTGCCATCTAATCACCGACTATAATTCAATGGAACCCATCTTGTAAATGTCGGCCATTTTGATTATTTTGTTATATATTTTAATCGTCAAAGCTGGTGTTCCGCCGTATCATCGCTGCCTCTATAAGCATCATCACGCTTAACCTGTTTTCCGGAATTAAAAAGAAGGAATTTACTAGAAACATGGTATCTTTCGCCATTTCGCTTTCCTAATGCATCAGCAGCAGTAATGCCAAACTCAATGAGTGAAAGGATGAACATTTCCTTTTACATCAAATCTTATCTGTCGCCGGTGATATTTTCACTTATTGATTAATAAAATAGTAGGAAATATTGCTTTATCCTATCCTGTGTTCGAGGGTATATGAGTCACATACGTATCTCCATACTTGAGGGGAACACACTCAGCTTCTTATAGGGAGATAAATAAGCGTCAATAGCGGCAGACATTTGAGTAGGTGACCGAAGTGCAAATACACAGATCAAGGGGCCACGCACGGGTATGTGATATACAACTTCCTACTATCTCTGTGGTTAAGATTAGTGTTTAGTATAAGCTAGCCCAGAGGAGGTCCTTCCAGCACGAGCATTGTAACGCGAATTTCCGTTTTGACGTTTAGAGTCCACTGTCAATAACACTGCACACTAATAATACGTGTTAATGCTACGTGAAGATACAGTGCATGGACCCCCGATGGGATGGAATTTGAACCTTAAGTGTATGTAAACATAATAGGACAGATACACCATCGTATTTAAACCTGTTTTGTACGGATATGGAAACGAGGCGGTATATTAATATGAAATTAATGTAACCGTGATATATGTTTTCACCATGATCCGCATGACCATATTTATTGTGCTGCTGGCCATGCTTATTTATAGTAACATGGACGGCAATATTCCCGAACCAATACCGGAACAATTTAAGGTCAAGGTCATGGATTTATGTATCAAGACATACAGACACACGGTAAGTCAACATTATAATCCTTCTAAAACTATTGCATGTATATTTGAAGCCCTAGTATGTTAAAATCATCAGAAATATTGTTGTCAAACATTGCGTTAGATCTTTCATTTTTTAATGTATTAATAAGAAAAGGACAGATGTCCTGCAGTGATGTGTATGTATCTCAGCACATTGTTGTACATATCATACTGTTTGGGCACTTTTCTACTATAAATATAGTATGTCCTATTTGCACTGTATATAGTTTACACGGTATTGCATATTGATGAGCTGAAAAGCTCAAAATAATATATAACTTGAACTTGAACATGATAATCCTACTAGACACGATCATCTTCTCTCATCGTAAGAAATCATAACATAATGATGCGGTAGTTTCTGTGGGATTTTTCGTCTTGAGGCACATGGTGACCTTGAAATACGTTTTATATCTAAAGACAAACGGTCTGCATTATTACCCTATTTTTATTTTTTTAATTTGTAGTTGAACGTTTTAGTAAGTCTAGGACTGACAACGCCATTTTCTGAATTTGAGAGGAAACTCAGTGATCGTTTCATTCTATTGATGACGACGGGATTCCCGTGGGTTCGAGGCTACGACTCTCAATTACAGGTGAGTTATAGGGCGTTCTTGGTGCTAGTTCTGATGCTAATTTATTGATTTGTACATGCGTCGACAGTGGCAAGTCCAGTGTTTTGGCGGCTTCAGTGCCTTTACATTTTCAGAACCATCTTTCAAAATTTGATTTGCCAAATTTCCACCACGCTAACAATAAGTAGTTCAAAGCCATGTTTGTTTGATCGAACAGACCGGTTCGTCAATAATTTCTACAAGACCTTCAAATGTCAATGTAGGCCTTGAACGTTTTTATAAGGCATGGTTTACCAGACGTCAATACCAGACCACTAGGTATGTCCCTATTTTATTTATAAAGTTTCATGAAGTCCTAATTTAAATCGTGAACTTTCGATAGTCGTCCTAGGATCTAAGCTAGAGACTGACAGAACGTATAACATTAATGTTAACATTAGCAAATACACGTAGGGAAGTTTAGTTAGCAGGTCATGACTGGAGAGAGTAACAGTAGTTGACCATTTCTGTTGAATGCATGTAATGTATGGGGAAATGTTTTTTGAAAATGTCTGGTCTTGTACCTTCATGGACATCAAGTACAAGTAAATAGGAAATGAATTACATCCTAAATAGATGTCCACGCATTCCTCAACTGACCTTTCTCCAGCCAGTTAAATTTTCCCCTGAACCTAGTGTTAGGATAACCGGAATGAAAATGGTTTGAATAAAAGTGGATTTCAATGACACCCTGTGTGTTTTTCACAGATTACAGACACAACCATGAAGGGTGTCCATGTGCGCATGTACCAGCCTGTGTCGTCATTACAACATAAACAAAGGCCTGTACTCGTCTACTTCCACGGCGGCTGGTGGAGCTTGCTTTCGATTGGTAGGTGTATGTTTTTTGAAAAACTGTAAAACCAAAAAGAAATGAATTTGAAATTTAAATGATCATCATAATTTGTATGACGTAAAAACTTCATACTGTCAACATTTAAACACTGAAATGTGTTTGGAATAGCAACATAAAAGGGTTTGGAAGGAGATTTATGAAAGAATCATAAAAGAACAAAGGAAAAATGAGGCATGAAATATGTGTTCAGCAAATAAGGTTGCAAATAAAAAGGAGCATCATATCCAGGTTTTATTGTATAAAGTTAAAAGGGGGATATCGTGTTAAGGTTTTCCTGTAAACAGATAAACGGGGACATCAAGTTTTTATTGTATAATGATAAACGAGGGTCGTGTTTGTCAAGGCTTTACAGTAAAGTGATTATACTGTAAAGTGAAAAAACGTGGAGCGTTATGTCAAGTTGGTGATTAGCTAGGGAAATTATATCGAGGCGTTACTGAAGTGGAAAAAAAACGAGGAGCGTTATGTCAAGTTGGTGATAAGCTAGGGGAAAAGCTAGGGAAATTATATCGAGGCGTTACTGTAGTGGGGAAAAAACGAGGGACATTATAACAAGGTTTTACTGTCTATAATTTCCGATAAACTGTAGATTGTTTACGTCGGTAAACCATATTGGCGATGACGCTTTCAATGTTTTAATTCTGTATAACTCTGTCTAGTTTTGTTGATTTGTTTGTGTCTTGTTGTGATACAATATAAGTATTATTTATAATAAATAACAGACTCGTACGACCCGCTGATGAGAAGGATCGCCAAGGATAGTGGAGTTGTCATCATCTCTGTCAAGTTAGTATAAGTATGACGTCAGACCCTCACACAGTTCCTATTAGGACTGTGCATTCACCTCTGTAAACGACCCAGATTTGACAAATTCTTGTATCAAAAACTGACACAAAAATTACCCGGTATGTGATGTGATACAATTAAAATAATCATGATGCTGAAGCATAATAATAAGAAGTGTGAAGAAAGGAAGCACACCTATTTGAAATTCTTGTTTGAAGATGCTTAAAGCCAAACAAAGGAGTCTGTGCCATAAGTCCATCACTATCATCTCAGACTCATCAGCATTACAGTCGGTAATTACTTTTGCTAGTTGCTTTCGGCATGACAATTGCTTACTGAGTCAGATAACAGTCATAGTCACATATATGTATTGACTGTGGACTTTACTTCGTATAAATGGCCTCTAATATGAAAAACAAACTGTTTTGCAAGAAATGACTGGCTTTCAATTGTATTCTTTAACTATATATCACGATTTCAGATGGGTCAAAAAGTAACACTTGGTCCAGACTATGAGATAATCAATCGAGTGTAGTTTGAGTTCAGTGTTTAAATGCCAAAGGTTGAGGACCGAGTTACGACAGACGAATACTTCGGTTTATGGGATGCTGCTGCTTCATTATAATTTCATGAACAAGACAATTCACATCCACGAGCAAAAAACTTACTATATTTTTAATACGATTAATGATAGCTTAATCTTTAACATGTAATTAGTATTGAACGTTTATAATTAGCTTGCTGCATGGATCGACGTTGTTTAAATGCGTGCAAGTATATTGTTTATTTTTATCAGTTACAGGTTAAGTCCACAACATCCGTTTCCGGTTCCTCTTCACGACTGTTTGGATGTTGTGGAATACGTCATCGAAAACAGTGCGACTCTGAATATTCATCCACAGAAAATTGCCATTGGTGGCGATAGTGCCGGGGGTAATATGGCCGCAGCGATATCACTCCGTTTAAAAAAGAAGCTCGCCCTACAGTTGCTCATTGTTCCGGTGTTACAGTTGGCGAATTGGAACACGTCTTCGTTTATTGAAAACGCCAATTATCTCTCTCAAAGCGCCAACAATAAAAACTATATACTTCTCGTGTTAAATTACTTAAATATCGATCATAAATATGAACATGACTTTTTAAATAATAATCATACGTCTCAGGCCTTTAAGCAATTTTATTTTACAGAGATTCTTGATCAAAATTTATGGCTGCCGAAGCGATATATCAGAAGCGAACTGTTAAGAGAAAATATCGACTTACAAACAGAATTTGGAAACGAAGAACTCTTTTCTCTGATCGAGAGTCGTATCACTGACCCAATGATGTCACCATTACTTGCGGATGACGACATGTTAGAAGATTTACCAATGACATATATCGTCACATCCGGTTTTGATATAGTGCGGGATGACGGGATCATGTTTTCGGAGAGGCTTAAGCAGGTTGGACAAAAAGTTATTCTCAAGCATTACGAAGAAGCGTTCCATACGTCTTTAATATTCCCACATGGACCTTTAAAACTCGAAGTAGGTGTTAGAATCGTTCAGGATATTGTCAAAGTTCTACGAAACACTTTACGTTCATCTTTATAGGTGATATTCTCAAAATCACACCATTATCAGGTCATAGAAATAAATCTTTTGACCATATACAGTATTGTATAAACCTTCCCAACTAGTGATGGTTGGTTATCATGTTGATCTTATTCTGATTAGTTCAACAATATTTATTAAAGATAATAAGTTTATCGATTAACCAGCGACATTCAGATGAACGTGATGATCACGAGTTCAAGAACCCGTTGAAAGCTCGTCAAACTTTCAGGAAAGTCATGCTTGACCAATGATTTAGGTTTTTGACCCGGGAAAAGTATGATTAAAATACGTTTAAAATCAAGGTTGGAGTTAGCTGTGGATACTGCGACTGATTGGCAGGTGTTTGCAATATACTCTGTCTATTACAATATACGCAGGTCAGTGTAAAAAGGTATCTACACCTAAAGGAACATATATTTTACGTGCCATTACATTGACATATGGAAACGCTACCAACCTGTTCCTCACGTATGTCATAAAGGAAATCATTGTTGTCACTGAGGCGGTGTTAATTACACAGCTTGGGAGTTGTGCAATATGTACACGTAATTATATCAACTATTTGTAATACTCAGAATAAAAATTTCTTTTGAAAGACAAAGGGGTTCAGATGAGATCTTATGTGCATAGCATAATAATATCTTCTTGTCATTGTTATTTACGTTGCTGACTTGGCCGTAAAATTAATTTTATTCTATCAACGAACAAGTTCTTCCAGGTTTCATGTAACACGTTGAATTAGGACAACTGCTTAATGCAAAATGTTATAGGTAGCTATAGATAACTAGGTCATGCTTAGCAAAGGTCACGTGCATATTGTGAAGGTTAAGTTATAAGATATACGTGCTTTACCCTGGTAATGTGGAATCATATTGCAGGTATTGGTTTCATATTTCCCCGAGTCATCCAGGTTTCGATTTGCACATTAAACAGGCTTGCTTAATCGAGAATGGAAATGTCATAATTTGTATAACTTGTTTAAATCAAAATTAATTTGATTTTTTTCGCGTGAAGTGAATGCAATGACGCATGTATTTATTGTAAGTGTGAACATGGATGTATGAAGAGAGGAAATCTTGAAAATAAGGAATGTACCTATCACGATAATAAATGTTTACTTGTATGTGTGGATTAAAAGAATCTTCCCAATGATACATTTTCTCCTGTTACATCTGTAACGGTTTACAAATATACTTATAAGTGTAGCTCTGTCCTGCTAATAATGACAGCCCCGTAAGGAATTGTTACATCTGTAACGGTTTACATATGACCAAACAAATATAGTTATGAGTGTAGCTCTGTCCTGCTAATAATGACAGCCCCGTAAGAAATTATAACATCTGTAACGGTTTACATATGACCAAACAAATATACTTGTAAGTGTAGCTCTGTCCTGCTAATAATGACAGCCCCGTAAGAAATTGATATTGGATTTATTTTTCATAATATCGAAATGTCCTGAGTGTCAATAGTCATAACCAGAGGACCGTGGCTATTTATACTCGGATGGCAATAACATCGGTTTTAAATACAACCGAACATTTAATATTATGTAGTTCATTGTATTTTGGCATATGGGTGACAGTATGATTACCAATAAGTAGCACGTGTGTCTTGACTGTAAAACTCTTTGCGATCTCACACCTTTCTTTTGAATGTTGCGACCCTGATCAGTATTGAGACGTTCAGAAAATGTGGTATAAAGTCTGCAAAGTGCACATGCAGTGGCATTTACGTGTAGCAGCTGTTCGTGCTGTCTGATTTGGAAAACTTAGCACTCATTAGCAGAAAATATTCTTACAAGCACATTTAGATTGTTTAAAGTTAGCAAAGTCGATACAGATTAAATACATAAATCCAGTGGAATGATACAAGTTAAGCTTGTGGTCACACTGGCGTTTTGCAGCCTTTAAGCGTCTACATGTCTACATCCTTCTCTAGACCTGGCCATATTACCTCTGTATAGGGGCCGCGGTGGCCAGGTGGTTAAGGCGTCTGACATTCTGCTACCACTAGCCCTCCACCACTGGGCCGCGGTGGCCAAGTGGTTAAGGCGTCTGACATTCTGCTACCACTAGCCCTCCACCACTGGGCCGCGGTGGCCAAGTGGTTAAGGCGTCTGACATTCTGCTACCACTAGCCCTCCACCACTGGGCCGCGGTGGCCAAGTGGTTAAGGCGTCTGACATTCTGCTACCACTAGCCCTCCACCACTGGGCCGCGGTGGCCAAGTGGTTAAGGCGTCTGACATTCTGCTACCACTAGCCCTCCACCACTGGGCCGCGGTGGCCAAGTGGTTAAGGCGTCTGACATTCTGCTACCACTAGCCCTCCACCACTGGGCCGCGGTGGCCAAGTGGTTAAGGCGTCTGACATTCTGCTACCACTAGCCCTCCACCACTGGGCCGCGGTGGCCAAGTGGTTAAGGCGTCTGACATTCTGCTACCACTAGCCCTCCACCACTGGGCCGCGGTGGCCAAGTGGTTAAGGCGTCTGACATTCTGCTACCACTAGCCCTCCACCACTGGGCCGCGGTGGCCAAGTGGTTAAGGCGTCTGACATTCTGCTACCACTAGCCCTCCACCACTGGGCCGCGGTGGCCAAGTGGTTAAGGCGTCTGACATTCTGCTACCACTAGCCCTCCACCACTGGGCCGCGGTGGCCAAGTGGTTAAGGCGTCTGACATTCTGCTACCACTAGCCCTCCACCACTGGGCCGCGGTGGCCAAGTGGTTAAGGCGTCTGACATTCTGCTACCACTAGCCCTCCACCACTGGGCCGCGGTGGCCAAGTGGTTAAGGCGTCTGACATTCTGCTACCACTAGCCCTCCACCACTGGGCCGCGGTGGCCAAGTGGTTAAGGCGTCTGACATTCTGCTACCACTAGCCCTCCACCACTGGGCCGCGGTGGCCAAGTGGTTAAGGCGTCTGACATTCTGCTACCACTAGCCCTCCACCACTGGGCCGCGGTGGCCAAGTGGTTAAGGCGTCTGACATTCTGCTACCACTAGCCCTCCACCACTGGGTCGCGGTGGCCAAGTGGTTAAGGCGTCTGACATTCTGCTACCACTAGCCCTCCACCACTGGGTCGCGGTGGCCAAGTGGTTAAGGCGTCTGACATTCTGCTACCACTAGCCCTCCACCACTGGGTCGCGGTGGCCAAGTGGTTAAGGCGTCTGACATTCTGCTACCACTAGCCCTCCACCACTGGGTCGCGGTGGCCAAGTGGTTAAGGCGTCTGACATTCTGCTACCACTAGCCCTCCACCACTGGGTCGCGGTGGCCAAGTGGTTAAGGCGTCTGACATTCTGCTACCACTAGCCCTCCACCACTGGGTCGCGGTGGCCAAGTGGTTAAGGCGTCTGACATTCTGCTACCACTAGCCCTCCACCACTGGGTCGCGGTGGCCAAGTGGTTAAGGCGTCTGACATTCTGCTACCACTAGCCCTCCACCACTGGGTCGCGGTGGCCAAGTGGTTAAGGCGTCTGACATTCTGCTACCACTAGCCCTCCACCACTGGGTCGCGGTGGCCAAGTGGTTAAGGCGTCTGACATTCTGCTACCACTAGCCCTCCACCACTGGGTCGCGGTGGCCAAGTGGTTAAGGCGTCTGACATTCTGCTACCACTAACTCTCCATCACTGGGTCGCGGTGGCCAAGTGGTTAAGGCGTCTGATATTCTGCTACCACTAACTCTCCATCACTGGGCCGCGGTGGCCAAGTGGTAAAGGCGTCTGACATTCTGCTACCACTTACTCTCCATCACTGGGTTGCGGTGGCCAAGTGGTCAAGGCGTCTGACATTCTGCTACCACTAACTCTCCATCACTGGGCCGCGGTGGCCAAGTGGTAACGGCGTCTGACATTCTGCTACCACTAACTCTGCATCACTGGGTCGCGGTGGCCAAGTGGTGAAGGCGTCTGACATTCTGCTACCACTACCTCTCCAGCACTGGGTCGCGGTAGCCAAGTGGTTAGGGCGTCTGACATTCTGCTACCACTTACTCTCCATCACTGGGTTGCGGTGACCAAGTGGTCAAGGCGTCTGACATTCTGCCACCACTAACTCTCCATCACTGGGTCGCGGTAGCCAAGTGGTTAGGGCGTCTGACATTCTGCTACCACTAACCCTCCACCACTGGGTCGCGGTGGCCAAGTGGTGAAGGCGTCTGACATTCTGCTACCACTTACTCTCCATCAAGTGGTTAAGGCGTCTGACATTCTGCTACCACTAACTCTCCAGCACTGGGTCGCGGTAGCCAAGTGGTTAAGGCGTCTGACATTCTGCTACCACTAGCTCTCCATCACTGGGTCGCCTAGGCCAAGTGGTTAAGGCGTCTGACATTCTGCTACCACTAACTCTCCATCACTGGGCCGCGGTAGCCAAGGGGTTAAGGCGTCTGACATTCTGCTACCACTAGCTCTCCATCACTGGGTCGCCTAGACCAAGTGGTTAAGGCGTCTGACATTCTGCTACCACTAGCCCTCCTACACTGGATCGCTGGTTCGCGGCCTACGTGGAAAAGTCGCCAGGTACTGTCCGTAGGTCGGTGGTTTTTCTTCGGGAACTCCGGCTTTCCTCCACCACCAACCAAAAACCTCTGTATAGCTACACCTGTATAGCCAAACACTTTTTTCCTTGCCTTGATGATAATAACCCCCGTTCAGGGCTAGGACATGAGGTTGCCTTGGTAATCGTTTCACTTCATGACCCTCCAACGACGATGCAGAGAAGTGTACACACTTTACTCATTATAAACTGGAAATTAACAATTATTCTTCTATTTTACAAAATTCATAAAATCAATGGAGTTTATGCACCTCCCTTTCTATTTAAGTAATAATGTCGACCCATTTTGATTTCCACCATTTCGGCTCCATCACTCTTTTTCAAGTCCTCATCCATAACTAAACATATGCAGACTCTTTAATCGCAGGATTAAATATATAGACAAATACATCGATTATGGGTGCATAAAGCATAACCATTTGAATGCTAATTGTGACGTTTCTCTGATCGCTAGTACGGTATTTACCCCGTGTCCTCAAATTTCGTCTGATGAAGGCGAAAGAGTACATGTCATACTAGTCATCGAACCGTATTTCACTGGTTGTTCTAGGTGAACCTGAATACAATAGGGGGACTTTCGGTGTCTCTCCCTGCAAACATATCATCTTAGGTATTTGATCGTTACAATATCTTAATCCCCCTTTAGCTGTTCTACTCAGCACAATCGATTTGCAGAATGGACATCCTCAGTTGGCATCTTTGGAGTACATTTATTCCAACCGACCACATTGTCAATCAGTGGTAGCTCAAAACTGTCGGACTTAATACTGACTTAAAAATCATGCGTGTGAGAGCATCAGTATTAGAACAGATTTTAGAAGCTTGTTATGTCATACCGTATTAAACTTTTGTTTAAAGAAGCTTCATAAAAAATTGAACCTATTTTTGCTGGGTTTGCGACCTGTCCTTTCATATTGAAGCAAACTACATCTGACCTGGAATTCAATTCCTTGATATATTTATCTAATATTGCAATCCTGTTTATCTCGATAATAGCGTGTTATGCAAATGACTACGGGTGTTTAAGAGTACCAAGGAATTTTTGAATTTCCATTTAAGCAAACTTAGCATACGACAAAAATGATCATTAATGCATTTAAAGTAGGCAAAAACCCATTTCTCCTGTATTATGACTTGTAAACTGATAGCGTGTCTCTCTATGTTGTAATACCTCGTACTAAGCCTAGTCTATACACTCGTAAACTATATATTGTTTCTATTGTCGAGCAAGCCATCTTTGTGACCCCACTTGGTCGTACCGGAAATCAAAATCCTACTTTCTATGAAACCAATAGTTTCTCCCTTGAATAGCGGCACGGTTTTTAAAATAAACACTTTACGCATTATTTATTTGAAATCTGCTCGTAATGTCCTGTTTTTTTGAAATTCCTCTATTGAAGATTTTAACGCATCTCCCGTTCTGGATCAACAGTAGTTTCGACCCATTCAGATTGCCCACGTTTTGGTCCCTAGCATCACCGATGAGTCCAAGAAGGACGAAACAGTTGAATGATGCAGTGTTATTCTTTTTATTGTGTATAATTTTGTATATCTATTACCAAATGTTTAACGGTGCAAATACGTGGGTGTCTTTTACTTTTATCTTTCATTGGTCGGTTTTGCAGATATGCTTTCCTTTTAGACTTTTACGTTGAGTACCATTTGTGATCCTACTTGGCTGTTAATTATTATGTTCTGAAACGCTATTGTAGGTTTACGTATCTGCAGAAACACTGACATGTAGATAATATTATCGTTACGTCGTTATCAACAGCAATTGATCAGGGAAGGGTGATGTGGGTACGTAGGTACAGTGAACTATGTCGCATTCTCTAAGCACTCCCATGTAAGTGTTCTTACAAACTGTCACTTAATACAAGGCGTATACACTGTTACATCAGTTCTATCTAAGGTAAACAGGCAGATGTAGCACCTGCCTATGTTTACATATTTACCTATTCTTGTCACGTGCATACAGGTAATCGTTGTCAATTCGTACTCAATAGAATTTTGAATGATTAGCTTGTTAACTGATAGGCGTAGCCCAGCAGCTTTTGTTATCGTGCCAGGGGAAAGGGTTGGTGTACAAGATAACCGGGAAATCAGGGGGCGGATTGGATTCATCTTTTGTAAATCTTCTCGCGTGTGGTTTAGAAGGAATCCTATTGCTTTTTAGGTTTGTTTTTTAAATACGTCCTCATAAACATGTTTGTACATTATAAACATGCTGATACAGTAGGTGTTTTACATGACATACTGGTTAAATAAAGTATCCAATAAACATATTCGTATATTTCGGATGTTCTTCTTGCCCCGCCGTGTTTCTTTCAAATAACATAAATACTTTAAAATGTAAAGGTATCCAAGCTTTGCTAGATTTGGAAGCGATGTTGTGGTAACCACGGTATGACCATCTGATTAAAATATGTTAATTTGTTTAATGGTGTGAATTAAAATAAAAAGGACATACAATTTACTAAACTTTTGATATTATTAAAAGTATTTGTTCTACATTGTTAGTTATTAAAATATTAATCATGTTTTAATCATCTTTATGTGACTGCTTTCACGTGATATCATTGTATAGTTGCTGTATGGAAGAAGACGTTATATAATTTGCTATAACTTGGGCCAAATTCATTTTGATTTTATCAAATACAACAAATATCTGTTTTGCTAACCTAAACTAAACAGGATAAGTAGGCATCGAGAAGAATTGTTAATGTAATAGACAATAATAAAATTCGTATCTCTTTATTCGAAATCTGACCTATGATCGTGTCTACATGTAGTGTCCATACCAGAAAATGTCCGGTCCTGGACAAAGATAACGGCTACTACGACCAACAGCTGATATACTAGAGGATTTGCCGTGGGCAGTGCATTGGTCAAAAGGTCAGAGAGGTCAGGTATACTAGTGGTGTTTCTTACGCTCCCAGTGTTTGTTTTCTGGACACCAATGTTATAAGTATCACCTTGGACATCTATCCATAACAACGATCGGAGAGTATTTTCTACATAGAGTTCTTTATTATATTTTTAAACAACATTGTATAACACAACACACACATGGACGTGCACGTGTAGCTGTCCACTATCGTATCTAATCTTGTGCACATGGACTACCTGTGAAATAATGTACCCGAGGATAGCTACCGGACTACAGAGATTGTAAACATTCCTTTTCCGTTGCGATGATTCGGTTGACATTGTTCGGAGCTTTGCTGGCATGGTTTCTTTACAGTTACTTGGATGGTAAAATCCCGGAACCGATTCCAGAACAATTCACGGTGAAGCTGATCGACGCCAGTATGAAGACATATGGACACACGGTAAACATGAAAACCATTGTTGCACCATGTAAATGTTAAGCATACTTTTCAATTTCCAAATGTTTTGCATTTTTTACTTAGGTTTACTTGAAAAACATGATTTGTAAAAAGAAAATCAAAAATGATAAGAACATAATTATACAGAAAAGAAATCATTTTGTCAAACATCTCTCTATCAGCCATAAAATATCCACAGACGTTGACATCGTCTGTATTATCATTTTGTCAACAAACTTTTTGTTTATATTTGAGCTAGGTTAGAATGTTTAAAAGAGAATTGCTATTCGAGGAAATAACTGTGGGCCATTTCTAGCCAAGCTAATGGTGCATCGGATAAGTGTGGGTTTCTAGTATAGGTCCGCTGTCATTTGAAAGCTAGTCCCGTGTTGTCATGGAGCTTGGTTTGTAAATAAGACAAAGGAGATAATATACAGGTCAGATGGTTTAATTTCATATTCAGATAGAGAATGAGATGATGACATTAATTTCGAGTACTCTCTCCTTCAGCTTCACATTGACGTGTACCTGAAGTATGACAATGGTCACATCACTAACAAACTGTGTGAAAAACGTGTCGAGTTAAATGTCTCGAAAGTTGAAATTTACCTTTCCTCAGAAGTAACATTTAACCTTTCCTCAGTAGTAACATTTAACCTTTCCTCATAAGTAACATTTAACCTTTCCACAGTAGTAACATTTAACCTTTCCTCAGTAGTGTCATTTTACCTTTCCTCAGTAGTGACATTTCTCCTTTCCTCAGTAGTGACGTTTTACCTTTCCTCAGTAGTTACATTTTACCTTTACTCAGTAGTGACGTTTTACCTTTCCCCAGTAGTGACGTTTTACCTTTCCTCAGTAGAGACGTTTTTCCTTTCCTCAGTAGTGACGTTTTACTTTTACTCAGTAGTAACATTTAACCTTTCCTCAGTTGTGACATTTTACCATTCCTCAGTAGTAACATTTTACCTTCCCTCAGAAGTAACATTTAACCTTTCCTCATAGGTAACATTTTTACCTTTCCTCAGTAGTAACATTTTACCTTTCCTCAGTAGTAACATTTTACCATTCTTCAGTAGTAACATTTTACCTCTACTCAGTAGTAACATTTTACCTTTTCTCAGTAGTAACATTTTACCTTTCCTCAGTTGTGACATTTTACCGTTCCTCAGTAGTAACATTTTACCTTCCCTCAGAAGTAACATTTAACCTTTCCTCATAGGTAACATTTTTACCTTTCCTCAGTAGTAACATTTTACCTTTCCTCAGAGGTGACATTTTACCTCTCCTCAGTTGTGACATTTTACCCTCCTCAGTAGTAACATTTTACCTTCCCTCAGAAGTAACATTTTTCCTTTCCTCATAGATAACATTTTTACCTTTTCTCAGTAGTAACGTTTCACCTTTTGTCAGTAGTAAAATTTTACCTTTCCTCAGAAGGAACATTTTACCATTCCTCAGAAGTAACGTTTCACCTTTCGTCAGTAGCAAAATTTTACCTTTCCTCAGAAAGATAATTTACCATTACTCAGTGGTAACATTTTATCATTCCTCAGTACGTAGTAACATTTTGGCTCTCCTCAGAAGTAACATTTTACCTTTCCTCAAAAGTGACATTTTACCTTTCCTCAGTAGTGACATTTTACCTTTCCTCAGAAGTGACATTTTACCTTTCCTCAGAAGTGACATTTTACCTTTCCTCAGAAGTGACATTTTACCTTTCCCCAGTAGTGACATTTTACCTTTCCTCAGTAGTAACATTTTACCATTCCTCAGTAGTAACATTTTACCTTTCCTCAGTAGTGACATTTTACCTTTCATCAGTAGTGACATTTTACCTTTCCTCAGTAGCGACATTTTACCTTTCCTCAGAAGTAACATATAACCTTTCCTCAGTAGTGACATTTTACCTTTCCTCAGTAGTGACATTTTACCTCTCCTCAGTAGTAACATTTTACCTTTCCTCAGTAGTAACATTTTACCTTTCCTCAGTAGAAACCTTTTACCTCTCTTCAGTAGTAACATTTTACCATGCCTCAGTAGTAACATTTTACCATTCTTCAGTAGTAACAATTTACCTCTACTCAGTAGTAACATTTTACCTTTCCTCAGTAGTAACATTTTACCTTTCCTCAGTTGTGACATTTTACCATTCCTCAGTAGTAACATTTTACCTTTCCTCAGAAGTAACATTTAACTTTTCCTCATAGGTAACATTTTTTCCTTTCCTCAGTAGTAACATTTTACCTTTCCTCAGTAGAAACCTTTTACCTCTCCTCAGTAGTAACATTTTACCTTTCCTCAGAAGTGACATTTTACCTCTCCTCAGTTGTGACATTTTACCCTCCTCAGTAGTAACATTTTACCTTCCCTCAGAAGTAACATTTTACCTTTCCTCATAGCTAACATTTTTACCTTTTCTCAGTAGTACCGTTTCACCTTTCGTCAGTAGTAAAATTTTACCTTTCCTCAGTAGAAACCTTTTACCTCTCCTCAGTCGTGACATTTTACCTTTCCTCAGTAGTAATATTTTACCTTTCCTCAATAGCGACATTTTACCTTTACTCAGTAGTAACATTTTACCTTTCCTCAGTAGTGACATTTTACTTTCCTCAGTAGTAACATTTTACCTTTCCTCATAGCTAACATTTTTACCTTTTCTCAGTAGTACCGTTTCACCTTTCGTCAGTAGTAAAATTTTACCTTTCCTCAGTAGAAACCTTTTGCCTCTCCTCAGTCGTGACATTTTACCTTTCCTCAGTAGTAACATTTTACCCTTCCTCAGTAGTGTCATTTTACCTTTCCTCAGTAGTAACATTTTCCTTTCCTCAGTAGTAACATTTTCCTTTCCTCAGTAGTAACATTTTACCCTTCCTCAGTAGTGTCATTTTACCTTTCCTCAGTAGTGTCATTTTACCTTTCCTCAGTAGTGTCATTTTACCTTTCCTCAGTAGTGTCATTTTACCTTTCCTCAGTAGTGACATTTTACTTTCCTCAGTAGTAACATTTTACCTCTCCTCAGTAGTAACATTTTACCTTTCCTCAGTAGTAACATTTTACCTTTCCTCAGTAGTGACATTTTACCTTTACTCAGTAGTTACATTTTAACTTTCCTCAGTGATAACATTTTACCTTTCCTCAGTAGTAACAATTTACCTTTCTCAATAGCGACATTTAACCTTTCCTCAGTAGTAACATTGATCCTTTCCTCAGTAGTGACGTTTTACCTTTCCCCAGTAGTAACATTTTACCATTACTCAGTAGTAACATTTTACCTTTCCTCAGTAGTGACATTTTACCTTTCCTCAGTAGCGACATTTTACCTTTCCTCAGAAGTAACATTTAACCTTTCCTCAGTAGTGACATTTTACCTTTCCTCAGTAGTAACATTTTACCCTCCTCATTAGCGACATTTTACCTTTCCCCAGTAGTGACATTTTACCTTTCCTCAGTAGTATCATTTTACCTTTTCTCAGTAGTAACATTTTATCTTTCCTCAGTCGTGACATTTTACCTTTCCTCAGTAGTATCATTTTACCTTTCCTCAATAGCGACATTTTACCTTTACTCAGTAGTAACATTTTACCTTTCCTCAGAGTAACATTTTACCTTTCCTCAGAGTAACATTTTACCTTTCCTCAGAGTAACATTTTACCTTTCCTCAGTTGTGACATTTTACCATTCCTCAGTAGTAACATTTTACCCTCCTCATTAGCGACATTTTACCTTTCCCCAGTAGTGACATTTTACCTTTCCTCAATAGTAACATGTTACCTTTCCTCAGTAGTAACATTTGACCTTTCCTCAGTAGTGACATTTTTCCTTTCCTCAATAGTAACATTTTACCTTTCCTCATTAGTAACATTTTACCTTTCCTCAAGTAACATTTTACCTTTCCTCATAGCTAACATTTTTACCTTTTCTCAGTAGTAACATTTTACCTTTCCTCAAGTAACATTTTACCTTTCCTCATTAGTAACATTTTACCTTTCCTCAGAAGTAACATTTAACCTTTCCTCAGTAGTGACATTTTTCCTTTCCTCAATAGTAACATTTTACCTTTCCTCAAGTAACATTTTACCTTTCCTCATTAGTAACATTTTACCTTTCCTCAGAAGAGACATTTTACCTTTCCTCAGTAGTGTCATTTTACCTTTACTCAGTAGTTACATTTTAACTTTTCTCAGTGAGAACATTTTACCTTTCCTCAGTAGTGTCATTTTACCTTTACTCAGTAGTTACATTTTAACTTTTCTCAGTGATAACATTTTACCTTTCCTCAGGAGTAACAATTTACCTTTTCTCAATAGCGACATCTAACCTTTCCTCAGTAGTAACATTGATCCTTTCCTCAGGAGTGTCGTTTTACCTTTCCCCAGTAGTAACATTTTCCCTTTACTCAGTAGTAACATTTTACCTTTTCTCAGTAGTAACATTTTACCTTTCCTCAAGTAACATTTTACCTTTCCTCATTAGTAACATTTTACCTTTCCTCAGAAGTGACATTTTACCTTTCCTCAGTAGTGACAATTTACCTTTCCTCAATAGTAACATTTTACCTTTCCTCAGTAGTAACATTTTACCTTTCCTCAGTAGTAACATTTTACCTTTCCTCAGTAGTGACATTTTACCTTTACTTAGTAGTGACATTTTAACTTTCCTCAGTAGTAACATTTTACCTTTCCTCAGTAGTGACATTTTACCTTTCCTAAATAGCGACATTTTACCTTTCCTCAGTAATGACATTTTACCTTTCCTCAGAAGTAACATTTAACCTTTTCTCATTAGTGACATTTTACCTTTCCTCATTAGTTACATTTTACCTTTCCTCAGTAGTAACATTTTACCTTTCCTCAATAGTGACATTTTAACCTCTGTTTATAAGGTTTACATGTCAATTAATTCGCTTCCCGAGATCCTGTTCTAATTTTCACTATTCTCTTGACGTATGGATAAATATTTTCGAACGATTAGCTATTAAGGGTTTTCTACTCAAAGAGGTTTAAAAAGAAATATTTGTGTCGTATTTATGATCTGGCATCAGGTTTCATTGTCAATGATAACTTGTGTACGATGGCTTTCATTCCATTCAAAAACGGCTGTGGTATGTTGTTCCCGTGTTTTGTTGATGTATTTATATAATCTGTTGTACTAGTGCTTTATATTGCTAAATACTTGCTTTGCATGTAGTTTTTATTTTTGTAAAATTACCCGATATTCTTACCTTACCTAACTGTGTCACAAATCTGACAAAGCATCTGCCGGAGTTAGAACAGCTTAACGTCAATATCAGGACATCGGTTTCGTCCATCAAACTATTTACAAAACATTAATATTTATCATTCGAAACAGTAAATTTTCTTTACTTCATCCAAACTGGAATATTATGCCAAGCGGTTTTTGTTTTGTTCGACCAGATGGGGGCCTTAATAAGTCTAGGTGTGACGACGCAATTTTCGGATTTGGATAGAGCTATGGGTGACCGCTTTATTTTACTTATGACCACTGGATTTCCGTGGAGCCTCGGCGCTGACCCACAATTACAGGTAAACTCTCAAAATCTAGCATTTCGCGGCTAGTTGTTATTCTCGATATATGTAAAAATCGACATGTTTTCTCTTTAATGTTCTGTAAATGTATCGCTAATTGCAGTAAGATCTCGTTATACTTCAACCGTTCGTCTAGAGAATGTTTAGTGTTATAAAGGGGTTTTGCAACAAATTGAGGAAAATGTATAAAGTTATTATTAAGAAAAAAAAGAAAAAGGAACATTGAAATATGTTGGCGATAAACGAGGTGGCAAATGAATCGAGGGGCATTATATTGAGGTTTTACTATATATTATAATCCGTTACATTGAGGTGTTACTATATATTATAATCCGGAGGTTATTTTCCTGGTGTTCAGTCGTTCAGTATTTCTGTGAAATGATTAATTCAATTTCATTCTCCAGAGAAAACAACAACTTTAAAGTAAAAGTTTGATCATTCTATAATGAGTTATACTAATAATAGTTTCCCCTAGATAACGAACACCACGATGAGCGGTGTCCACGTGAGGATTTATGAACCAGTGACGTCATTGCAAGTAGCAGAGAGACCAGTACTCGTCTACTTCCACGGAGGAGGATGGAGTATGCTATCTGTTGGTATGTTGGGGGATTATCCTTTCTAAGGATAGGAGATATTAGCGTTCGTGTGTCCGTTACGGCGGCCTAGAGTGTTTGTTTGTCCACGTGGCTTTATTACGCGATAACACTAACATAAAAATGTTTGGACATGGTATCTCAGATCAAAACGTTTGCTTTCAATTAAGTAATTTCTCTTGCCTTTTTCTTTTCAGATTCATATGATCCACTCATGAGAAAGATAGCCAGGGACAGTGGAATCGTCGTCATCTCTGTCAAGTAAGGAAATTAATAAGAGTCGGTCGTAAATATAATGTTATCCTTGTTAAACAGGAAGGGATCAGTATAAAATCTGCCTATTATTTTTCGTTAAAAAAAATTGATAAATTGATAATTCATGATGACTTTTCTGGTTCGTGTTTACAAGTGGTGTCTCTTAGTTAAGAGGCTCAGTAATGGATCAAAACACGCAATGTTACATAAAGACAATAATATTTAAGTGTTTCTGTGATCAGGTAAGTACAGCGATAACAGAAAGAACTATTCATACAATATAGTTTCCATGATTACAAGCCAACATTTCAATAAAATTATTGACTGTGATAATTTCTTTCGAAAATTGTTACACTAAAAAATCTGTAACATATTTTTCAAATGGAAAATTGGTCATGGTTTATTAGTAGTTCATGCTGTGATAAGTTATAATAACTTGTGCCCAATCCCTTGTTCAATTTTATTGGCAATAAATATGTTTAAAGTAGTTTCCACACAAATTTGTATGTATTACGATTTAAAGACGCGTGTGGTGGAGGACGAGGAGATAATCCTACAGTGGTAAGGGAGACAACACATTCATTAAATTTGAAATTGTTTCGCCTAATTTATTGCAGCTACAGACTTAGCCCACAATACCCATATCCGGTTCCGTTACAAGACTGTTCTGATGTTGTGGAATACGTCATAGAAAACTGTGCAACTTTGAGTATAAATCCGCGGAAAATAGCGATCGGTGGTGACAGCGCCGGGGGTAACATTGCGGTAGTGTTATCCTACAAGTTCAAATATAAGTTAGCATTACAAATTGTACTTGTTCCAGTTCTACAGATGGCAAATTGGAATACAACGTCGTTTATTGAAAATGCTCCATACCTAGCGAAAAGTATTAACAGCCCGGACTCAATATTTTTTGTTCTGAATTATTTAAACCTTGATTATAAATACGGTCAAGATTTCCTAAAGAATAATCACACGTCGTCTGCGTTTAAGAAATCACATTACATGAAATTAATTGATCAAAATAGGTGGGTACCAAAACAATATATTAGAGATAAAACTCTGATGGAGAACATCGAACTACAAACAGATTTTGGAAATGAAGAATTATTTTCAATAATAGAAAGCCGAATCACCAATCCCCTGATGTCACCGTTGCTTGCTGGTGACGACATGTTAACGGGATTACCTTTGACCTATGTTGCCACGAGTGGGTATGACTTTATACGAGATGACGGAATCATGTTCGCCGAAAGGCTTAAACATGCAGGACAGGAAGTGGTCCACCAACACTACCACGAAGCCTTCCACAATTCACTGTTCTTCGCACACGGACCTCTGAAGCTTGACGTCGGGGTCCGAATTGTACAAGATATCGTTAACATTCTCCGGAACACTTTACTGTAACACAGAAGTTCTTAGTCTAAGTGTTAAGTTCATTTTCCGGAGGAACACCTTACTTGTCCGGAGGAACACTTTACTGTACAACGCTGGTCCAAAGTGTACATGTTTTAGCTAATTTCCCATTACTTTTGTTAGTTTATCCTCCGGGACACATTAATGTGACAGAGTGACTTTAACTCTGCTTATGTAAATCTATCCCGCGGGACACCTCTGATTATTGTTACCCGGTGATTCTTAGTTCGTGTTGTTATGTTTATTCTCATGGACACATTTCTGTAACACAGTGGTTCTTGCTATGTGCGTTTCAGTTATTTTTTCTGGAAAATATTACGTATAACGGTATTTCTGAGCCTGTGTGTTTCAGCTAGTCCTGCGGGACGTGTTATTGTAAACTCGGTGATTGCTGCTCTGCGTTTTTAGGTAGCAATCTAATACACCTTCCTTGTGGCGGGATATATTCTGAATAAAATTTGTAGTTGACATGTTATTCCGTTTGATACGTTGTCCGTATATTTTTGTGACGCACCAGAATAATATTTGAAGTGCACTTTTCATTCACAACCAACAAAAAAAAGAGAAATAAATGAAACACATTTTTTTTCTCAAACAATAACATTTATTTTAATGTTCTAACACTTGTAACATCACTAAGTTTGTACGAAATGCTGCCAATCATTCACGTTAACGCAAAGTGTCTTCGTTCGATATAAATATATAAATATAAATAACGATAACAACAGGGTTTGTTAGGAGACGGTGGTCCTCACTTGATTGCTTCCGGTAGATTGCATTGATATGATTATATTATTTTGATGTTAAACATATACCGGGGGAGATAACCTCTCCAACTATGCATAAAACAAAGGGAGACAACCTCTTCAGCACTATAGAAAGATATATTTTTCACTAATATAACCTTTCAGTTTTGCTCAATACCAACAGCGGGAATCAGGTCTGCAGCCGATGTAAATGCCCAAACAAATACTTCAGGTCAACCCTTACCACGAGAACATAAAACCTGAAACACTAAAACACTTTAATCCTACAAAAGAGAACACTTATATACTTATGATTTTAAATGAGCCCCTATCACACGACTCAAGCTGCAATATCAGTAACTGTGAAAGGTATTTTTTATATATCCCCCGGTTTATCTCGTCGTCTTAATTTAACAACTAAAAGAGGCGTAAACCGTTAAATCAAAATAGATATTTACAAATTTCTTTGGCGTTTTCACAATGTCTATTTAATATTGAACTCTACAAGAGGGGAAAACCTTGCCCGTTCCTTTGTGAGTTTGGCGTAAAGTTTGGCTTTACACTGTCCTTTCCCCGTGTACACATTGCCTTCCCAGATGCTGTCGGCAATCTCCTTGAAGTGGAACCAAGCATCCCCGACTAGCATAGCGACGTCCATTGCCAGTGGCGCTCGCACTCGGAACGTCACTCTCTTGTCGGGGTCAATGTCTCCGACAACAGGTTCCAGCATGTTCCCAAGGAACCAGCGATGACACGCCCTGGGAAGAGGACGTTTGTCCTTGGCTGGATGCTTACAGTCTAGGAGGTAGCGAAATAAGCACTCAAGATGGCCGGTATTCTCCTCCGGCGATGTAACCGTCCCGCCGAAAATGTTGAAAACAAACTTGCCCATGATTGGACAACGGACTTGGTATGAAATCGATTTCTCGTCCCGATATCGGACAAATACGTATCGTTGGAAGTCCGTGATATCGCTTTGGAAGGGACCGTGGTATTGGAGGGTGTGGGTTAACTTCACATCCTTCTGTATCTGGAATTGAAATATGACGTCATCGTAACTGAAGACCACGAGAGGGTCTATGTGAGTTTGTGGTACGATTCCATACTGACTCATACTGGGAGTCGGGCCGAAAAATGGAACTTTCGGAAACGGACTTCGGATGTTTTCACGTTTCTCCCGACACTTCACTCTGAATGCGCATGCGCTTTGTAACGTTTCGGAATGCCAGTCTTCTTTTGCGTAAATTGTTAGAAAATATTTTCCAGTTTTTGGAGGAGCAACCGTGAAAATAGCTTTGTGACCGATGATTCTGAGCATAACACGTCCTTCTAGCTTATGAGGATCCATATCCGAATCTTTGGCGTCTAATGTGTATCCAAACCCAAGAAGGTTGGGGATCTTAAGTTGCAGTACTATAATACCATTGCTTGTGTATTGTGTCCCGTCATAATGATTGGCGAATTTCAGACCGTAGTTGAAGAAAGGAGATTTGACAATTGGCAAATTAATGAACTCCGTCAATGAAATTGGACATTCCAGAAGCTGCCACTTTGGATCATCCGGGAAATGTTGGTGAATATGGTCCTCGGGATCTGTGATAAAATAAAATTCGTCACATCTGTAATAGAACGTAGCTAGACCCGTAATGACGTCTTTCTCGTCCTTGTCGTGACCTTTGACATGCCTGGCTCCCCAGTTACAGTTAATGAAGCACCAGGATCCTTCAATAAATACAGCTGTCCAAGAGTTCCGGAACTTGTCATTGTCCATGCGCATGCCCGGCTTGTAACCGGCACCTTTCGATAAACCCTGGATGACCTCACAATGAAGCCCAGCATAACTGCAAAGAGAGAAGGATACGTCAAACTTGTGAGAAATACCAGGAAGTGAAATCAGTAAAATAAAATAAGTTGGAAATCGATCAAACGTCATATTTTGCCATGATACAATTACTGGTGACAAAACACTAGCAGCTTTATTTATATTTTCAAATTGTAATGTTTCAGTGCTATCTATAAATAGTAAAAGTATTTTTTTGTTTGATCTTTGTAAATGACTTTTTCGAATCATATAACTTTACTTCTGAATTTAAATCTTTTAAACAATAGACCCTGGAGATAATAAGACATGTTATACATGAGGATAACATGTATTGACAAGGTCAAATAAATGTCAATTCATAGTGGACTGAATTTCCTATATCAACTGACATAACTATACCAAGGAGAATAAGGGTTCGAAATAACTTCACTAATTCACGGAACTGTTAAAAGCCAATTCGGATACAGTTTGCATAACAAATGCTTAAAGATCAGATTTTTTTATACTATATAAAAATTCAATATATACATAAATTATTATTCCCATTGTAATGTATATAATCTCTGTTCAAGTCTTTGATAAATTCAGATTATTGATAAAGTGGCGTTATCTTCCCTTGCATCAGACATAATATAATATATTTACATTCTGTATGCTTAGACCCATTGACAAAAATTACATTCATAAATGCATAACCCAGGTGTTCATAGAATCTCAGCACGTGGGAACTGATAGTAACCTGATCACACTGCGTAGTAATACACTACAAAAACTACTCACTCGGAACGACCGACCTAGATGCTTAATTCTTACATCTTAAAATATTATTGAACTGTGCTTTGTGAAATATCCACGTATTCACGTGTCCTGTGCTACAAATAAACATTGAATATGGAACTACATTTTGTTGTGTTATTGTTGTTGACGGTTGCTAAGATCTCTCACGATAGTGTCACATTTCCCCGCGAAAAAACACTGTTCTCGCCACTGCGTTGCACCCGTGTATAAGCAGGAACAAACCCTGTTTATTTGTTTTATTCGTTGTTATATCGATCCACTGAAAGGATTCGTCAATGTAAATATAAGGAATGATATTTATTTTTTCAACATTTATGAGGTCATAACAACAATGGGTTTTTGGACATATTTTACATGAATCGCTAACGCGATTCATTCAATATGTCCATAAACCCATTGTTGTTATGACCTCATAAATGTTGAAAAAATAAAAATCATTCCTTAAATACATAAATAGAGTATATTTTCGTCAGAAAAGAAGATAACTCCATCTACCAATTAGATCGTAATACTTGAAATTTAATGGGGTTCATTCAATCACTTTTACCATCATTGTTGGACGTAGAAAGAGGATGCCTTAATCAATAAATTAACGTGCTATGTCGATCAGATTATAATAATAGTAATAACAATTCGAGGTTCTTATATACCGCTTTATCACAACCTAGTTCGTAGGTCGTCTCAAAGCGGTTCACAAATTATTATCCGTGTTTATAGGGCCTTTGCAACCAACCAATACCTTTCTTAACTCCCTGGGGAGCATACAGCCGGGGCTGCCATTTCGGCGCTAACAGCTAGCATTCAACTATTCTAGCACTGCCCAACCACGTACTCATTTACAGCTGAGTAGACTGGAACAAGCGGAGTAAAGTATCTTGCTCAAAGATACAACACAGCACCGTGCCGTGACTCGAACACTTCGGCCACGAGCCCGGCGTCCTACCACTAGACTACCGTGCCTACCAAGTAATGTTTTCATTACAGGTAATATATATTTATTACTGTCTGCAACGATTATTGATTTGTCAACTATAATTGATTAGAAGTATGATAATTTAAAGATAGCGTCGATAAGACTTCCCTGTCTAATGAGATATACATTTTTAATAGAAACCACTTGTAAACCGGACATGGGAAGATACCCAATAGTATTCTCTAGGAAAATAATGCTTTCCTTTATTACATTGTAACATCATCAATATTTCCTATCCTTAGAATTTAGTTTAAACATATGTTATTGCCCTAACTAACTACGGAATTTTCTAAAAGTTTATAAACCTTTTCCCCTGTAATAACACCGTACATATATATATACATACACGAGAAAAATGTATATCCATGTATATTGTAGTGCATGTGAAGATACTAGTTATATTGACGATACAGGGGTACACACAACCAGTTCGGTCTCGGTTGTTAAAAAATATGTTTTCATATACCGTTAAATGAATATTAGAAAACATGGTCGTTTCTGTTTTTACTCTGCATATTATTGATGAAAATATCATTTGTACCTGCACAGACGTTTAAAGAGGTCGTGGTAGCTCTCGGTGCCGTATTTGATCCCCCTAAGTAGGCCCATTGGAGATTCTGGGTTCACCGTCTCGTCAACCTCCAGCTTATTCAGATCTTTTACCGTAATCCAGCGGAATATAGCTCTGTAAACATTACATAAGAAATAATTGCTCTGAAGTAGTATACTTACACATCAGCAGAGACAACATGGGACACAGACGACCTGGACGTGGTTATATGGTTTTTAGCCAGAAATACTGCCATAGAGCAGGGATGTGTAGTAACATTATCAGACTTAAATTGATCAATCTTAGGATAAGTACACTTAGAACATTGGTACGATTCGGCTTCAACAAATTTAATCAGAAATTTTAATTAACATGTCATGAAACCCATTACAGGCTGGTCCTGATTCAGAGAAATGTGAAGTCTTGTTTTTATGTTATCTCGTGCCTGGTAATAAACACTTAAAGTAAAACTTCTGTAATTGACAGCATTATCCTCTAACATATAGTTATATACAAATCTACAACCATGATATCTGGAGTAAGGTATATTGTTAATATATGATTTACTGAAAACATCGGCGTAGCAATATAATCAAACGTGTTGCTAATATGCTGACTATTTAATGGTTAATGATAACACTATGCTGGCAAGATCTCATTTTACAAATCATTTGGAAGACTATGAACGCTGACAACAACACAGCTTGATGCCCGATACGGTGTTTTTTGTATTACCTTGATTTCTCCAGATCTGTTTGGCAGTTTTGGATGAGGTCTTTGACGAGGTCGGTAAAAGCAGAGTAGTCTTTCTGGGCCACCTGTAAACAAATCAACCGAAATAGATATCATAACAGAGAAATATGTCTGGTCCCCCTGTAAACAAATCAACCGAAACAGATATTATAACAGAGAAATGTGTCTGGTCCCGATGTAAACAAATCAACCGAAATAGATATCAGGAAATATTGACAATATTGATGTAATTTCCGGTAGAAACTTCACAATCTTTTATTGTCTTTAAATGCATCTTGATTGATTACTGTATTCAAATTTTTACTTTAAACAATTTTTCATTGCAATGATATGACAATGAAATTGGAAAGTATTGCATGAGAAACCGTTGCAGTAGACATAAACCCTTCATTTTTGGATTGTCGTTGTGCACATTCTTCATGGAATTTTCGTAAAACATGAATTGTTAGATTAAGGCATGCTCGAGAAATCATCGAATAGCGGCCCCACAAAATAAATGATTTCATAATATCAGTAAGACGCTTAACATTGAAAATATAATCTACATGTAATATCAAACACTGACTTTCTTAATGGAACCTTCCCATGTTTTGGTATTGTTCTTTATATAAGTTATTTATAGACATATGCTAGTGAGACTTCATGTTATAAAAATAGATGTCAACGGGCGGATATTACAATGTTCAGATATGTTTTTTTCTGTATTGTTTCAATGCTGTTGTAAATTGTGTTTTATGACATACCTCCGTCGTCGTGACGGAATTAAATATGAAACTCCAATAAAAACCAAATTGTCTGGTTATTATTGATCCTGTTCATGAGAGATGACCTCGACTGAGTGTCACTGTAGTTATATATCTGCCCACCTACGTTCACAGTGAGACCGTCTGACAAAAATACTCGAAAGACTCCGAGCGAAGCAGCAGGCCATCCTCGGGGAGATCCAAACAATATTCAATGCAAAAAAATATAAATGTTTTGTAATTGAAACAGATGTTAACAATTAACAAAAAGGGCAACCCCAATCAAATTAAATTCTGATCTAAACCAAGTGAAATTCTTCACTGCAAATTCAATAACATGTCACTAAAGCGTTTGACTGATGACGTATTTGAAGTCTTTGACCTGATGAATTTGTTCCAAATTTAATAAATGTCACAGTAGGTTGACGGAAGTTTCAACGACAAAATTGGAAATATGACGGCGTGAAATCCGTTCTTAGGTTTTTTTCATCTTCAAGTGGATGTTCTTTTTAATAAGGTGACGCTGTCGCAAATTGAGGCCAAATATCGCAAGATTTAAGTTAACTTAGACAGAACAATTCTTTACAAGTTTTATACAAATCATGAACACGTCTTCAACGTTAGTGAGGGACATAGGCAAATTCCGTTTGACGGTCATTTTTTATGATCGTCTGGTCATATTTGTAAAAGTTTGTGATGTAAGCTTTTAAACAAAACTGACACAATGAGGAATAAAATATATCTTTTAAATGTGAAAGGTGCCTTCCATTATCGTTAAAACATTTCATTTTAACGGAAGGTCGTCGTAATATCCATATTCAACATATATTTACCTCGAATACTTGGTTGTCAAGCGCTTCGAACTCCTCGGGACTTTTGAATAATTGCGATCTTCGGAACTCTGGTGGTGCAACAGGTGGCGGTCTTGAAAGGTCAATAGACGCCGTTTGTAGTGTGGTAGTATCAGCATCCGGTATGGACTGGACAGAGAAACAGTGACCAATCAGCAATGAAAAAACAATATTTTTGTCGATACGGGGTGGACATAGAAACAGTGACCAATCAGCAATGATAAAACAATATCTCTGTCGATACGGGGTGGACAGAGAAACAGTGACCAATCAGCAATGAAAAACAATATTTTTGTCGATACGGGGTGGACAGAGAAACAGTGACCAATCAGCAATGCGAAAAGAGTGTTTCTGTCGATACGGGGTGGACTGAGAAACAGTGACCAATCAGTAATGAAAAAACAATGTTTCCGTCGATACGGGGTGGACAGAGAAACAGTGACCAATCAGCAATGATAAAACAATATCTCTGTCGATACGGGGGGGACAGAGAAACAGTGACCTAAAACAATATCTCTGTCGATACTGGGTGGACAGAGAAACAGTGACCAATCAGCAACGATAAAACAATATCTCTGTCGATACAGGGTGGACAGAGAAACAGTGACCAATCAGCAATGAAAAAACAATATTTCTGTCGATACGGGGTGGACAGAGAAACAGTGACCAATCAGCAATGAAAAAACAACATTTCTGTCGATACAGGGTGGACAGAGAAACAGTGACCAATCAGCAATGAAAAAACAATATTTCTGTCGATACGGGGTGGACAGAGAAATAGTGACCAATCAGCAATGATAAAACAATATCTCTGTCGATACGGGATGGACAGAGAAACAGTGACCAATCAGCAATGAAAAAACAACATTTCTGTCGATACGGGATGGACAGAAAAAATAGTGACCAATCAGCAAAGAGAAAACAATGTTTCTGTCGATCTTGGGTGGACAGAAAAACAGTGACCAAGCAGCAATAAGAAAATAGTGTTTCTGTCGATACGGGGTGGACAGAAATATAGTGACCAATCAGCAATGAGAAAAGAGTGTTTCTGTCGATACGGGGTGGACAGAAAAACAGTGACCAATCAGCAATGAGAAAATAATGTTTCTGTCGATACGGGGTGGACAGAGAAACAGTGACCAAGCAGCAATGAGAAAATAGTGTTTCTGTCGATACGGGTTGGACAGAGAAACAGTGACCAATCAGCAAAGAGCTATGACAATATGAGATTATCCGATTAGCAATGAGCAAAGACAAAACAGTGCTTTTATTTACATTTGATGAGGTAATGAAGTTTTTGTTGTTAGGAAAATTGACATAACCGTGTTTGGCAGAAGGATTTTGCAATAGAATTAATTTTATCAACATTATGCAACGTTATCGGAAAAGGAGCAATATATTCGTAAATCTCTGCAAACGTAATTTGATTATTAAGGGCTGCAAGTCAGGATATAAAATGTTTACTTTATATAGATTATTCAGGTTTATCTGTGTTTAGTTAATTTACTGACGTCCACACAACTGAATGGTGTGTATATTATCGAATTCCAAAACATTTAAAAGTTTAAGGTGACAACACCAAAGACACCTGTGTACATTAATATGTACAACTCATTGTGTAATACTTACTTCCGTCATGGTCACGAATTTCTCGGCGATCATGAGTAACATTTCCGAGCTGTGTTTCTCGATCAGGCGGGTCACCTGACTTTTCTCCTCGGTGGTGAGTTTGTCCATTAGACAGCGTAGGCGCTCTTCCTTCTTCCGTTTGTAAAGCTGTTCGAGTCTCTCGGTCTCTTTTTCTAAGCCCGTCTTAATGTCCTTCTTTGATGTGATCTTCTTCTCGAAACCTGCCACTAGTTCTTGTACCGATTTCTCTTTCTCAACCTGTAAAATATATACCTTGATTTATTTCAAAAGGCTATGATTCAATGGATATGTACTGTTCTTTCATCGTTTAACAATAAAGACCAATTAAAACATGTCTATCCAAATATGAAATTGAGACCGTGCGTCTTACGGACAAAATTCAATATTTAACTTAGTTAATGTACGCAGATTGTACATAAACATTTTCTTGTAACACATGGCGCATATACGCATGTCCACGACTTAGTGTTCGCATGAATCGTCATCCATATTACAGTACATGCTACACACTAACTTCAGCACAACCTAATCGATGGGAACGAGAAAATGTCGTTATCATTTACGATAGAGTTAACTTAAAATATCACTTTAAACTCATGTACGCTTTATACCAATTGGTTTTTTTTCAATAATATAGTTTTAATATTTATTTACGACATAAGATGTGTTTTAAATGTTACATATACATTTATAGATGAAATAAACATGATATCAGCAATGTCACAATCACTAAACAATTTTTCGATAACATTGCGTCCACCTGTGCATTAGGTAAATATGTAAAGATCCTGGTCACGTGACGTTTACATTCATTTTCACGTCCTGCATTGCAACATCTGTAACGCTAATGGGATGTTAAAGAAAGTACACAAAAACATAGCTAAGGCCCGTAATACTTATTTCAGTAAGAATAACTTGTTATAAAAGAAAATATACCAAACTTTTCAATTTAATTCAGATTACGTTTCAATCCAAATATTTGCTTTCATATGATTGCCAATATCATATGTGCACAGCATGCATATGGTACAATGATACATATGTATGACGTCACAGATACCTCCAATTATTGACACTATCTACGAGGCTAGATTCTGCGTCAGTAGACATCATTATCCTCCTAATCTTATCAAAGCTAACGAGTGTAATCACTAGATTTGTCAGTTTGTCGAGTAACTCAAGTATTGACCAGGAACTGTATGTATAGTCACGTGATATTTCAAAATAAAACGTTTCAAAACAAAAAGTTAAGACGCTTGCAAACAATAAATTGAGTACTTTTTGTGTAATAATACACAGCATTGTGACTTTTTAATTAATAAGTTACTTATAAATAAAATACACCACGGATTGTTCTTTGTGCTCCTGTTAACGTAACACTGTGTAAAAACAACGGTAGACTTACCAAGGATTTTTTCTGCAGATGTGTAAACATAGTGAATGAACAGATAGTTTATATCATGGGTGAGCGTAACATAACACAATACACAACAGTGTTTTAATCTGTTGTATGCATAACTCCTTTTGCTTTTCCAAGAGGACACTAGCAATATGATGGGAGTTTCTGGTACAGTGCAGCTGGTTGAAACTTGAACTTTAAAATGTTTTCATTAATTAGAAACGTTTATTAAACAATAACACGCAGTTTTGAAATGACGTATCACCTTAAAATGTATACCGCACCTTCCTTCAAATTCATTTAAGCATAGCCGAATTCGGGAAAAAAAATATCGTTGCTCTAAAATGATAATTTTGTTTATATAAGTCGAAAATAGCTTGGTGACAAAAAAATATAATTTATCACTGTCTACGTTTGTCAGGAATGCATTGGGAAATGGTTTGTACCACTTATAAAGCACGAATAAAGAGAATCTAGCTCATATGCTCGTCTGCGCTGTTCTGAATTGCAGGTGTTCCGGGTTGCAAGCAGCATTTTGATTAGATTTTTTCAATAGTAGTCGAAGACTAATGGTATGACGTCAACAACGGTGAGTTAGATTTAACCTAATCGTTTGATTTAAGTGAGACCGCTGCCTGATCTGCTCAGAACTCCCTATAAATCTTTATTTTAGAGTGAGTATTTACACAGCATTATCGACACTGATGCGCCGAAACTGCAATGCAGGAGACGTTTACATTGACCCTCTATATCTACATTTATATTACGTAATCACCAGATCATCGAACGTTAAAAACAAAAATGTAACAATCCTATAACTATTATAGACTACATGTCTGATGAGGAATTAAAAAATGCACTATCTTATATAGCCGTCATCCAAAGAGTAGGCCTACCGCCAACAAACGCCGTGCAATGGTGCTGGTTGACGGGGTGCTTGGTGTTCACGCCAATGTATTTGTGAACATGGATGTTACTGATGATAAGAGCATCTTCTTTATCAATGAAGAAACGATGAAGTATTCATATTTTTTCTTGTCGGATGCGTTATGTAAGTAAAGTGGTTTTCCAACAAGTCAAATATGCTTCCTACCATATTGGACTACGGAAATACCAGTGTGAAACACGTGGGGAATGTTTTGACAGTAATACTACATGTACAAACAGGGGTCTATTCTAGATGCAAAAGTGTGACAATCACTGTAGTTTACACTTTAACCGAAGTTACCGGACATCTGTCACTAACACGTGTTATTTAAACGCAAAACAACTTACATGGATGTCATTCAACCATTTATCAAGTTTTGATATAAAACTAATTACAACAGCACTGGAATGCCAGGAATAGGACTACCACTTACCTTGAGTTCATCCTCCAGCCGCTGGACCATCTTGGTCCTGTCCTCGTGGAATCTCTCATAGAGCTTGTCTTCCTCCTTCTTCTGTCGTAGTTCTAGTACAGACTGGGCGTCAAACACACCCAACGACTCGAAATCCTGGAATGTAGAATAAAGAATCAAATTATTGCATGTTTCTAATCCCGTGGTACCAGCATAAACATGTGGAATCCATGATCTATAAACTGCTTTTGAAAGAAGCGAAACTGTTTTCACAAAAATAGCCAGCATCATGAATAAGCATGCAATGCTTTGAGAAAGCACATTAAATTATGAATTAAGTGAAATTATAAAATCACAAATTTACAAAACAGTGCTGTAATACGAATGTTAGGTCGCTCGTTCTGAAGGTACACATTACTCTCGAAGTGCTATTCCGTTTCAGTGTTTGAAAATTATTTGGAAAACAAAATGGCGAAAAATTTAAAATAAAAAAATATGAGAGTGCAGTTATTCCCTTTAAGATAGCAATCGCTTGAGAATTCCTCTCTTGTAATAAAAAGTTTTCGGCTACGGCTTTGAAGTGAGGATCGTTGCCCGGAGGCCTGCACTACAAAATATCCTAGGCGGCACCGATGTTGTGTACAATGATGTAAACGGCCTCGGTTTTTGCCGAAACATCGGTGGTACACAAAAAAAAAAAAAAACTTCAAACAAGTGATGACATGTGTGGCAACGATAACACCAAAGGCTCATCCAGAGGTAGCGCCGTTATATATTACCAGATGGTGAGTTCCGAATGCATTGGATAAACTAATGACAGTGACAACCTGACAAATATCACGTAATCACTTCCGGTGCCGTGTTTAAAACTGGGTAAAGGGTGTGAACTGTGTCTGTTACAGTAAATATATTTAAAGAGGCATTTCCATTATTTACGACAATTGGGAAAACGGTTCAGAACACTTTGTATCTAGGTCATGTCGACCATTTTACCACAAGGTACATGAATATTTACCAACACTGCATATTGTCTTACTCACTTAGACGACAGATGTTTAGACATGTGTTCATTAGAATAGAAGACGGATGAAAAAGAATTCATGTTTGTAAAACAATTCGTGCTGTTATGTGTTATATGATAGAGGGAATGTGCAGTACGGTACGATGTGTGTGTGATATAGTATTTAGAGGGACATCAAAACTCACCTATTCACGTCTGCATTTTAAAATCCTTGCAAAGACGTCATGTAAATACCACCCTTTATTTGTTCAATTATATGCATATTGCTTGCTTTAATGTATGAAAGTGATGGTAAGCCTTTGTTTTTGTTTCACAATTATAACTATTACTATTATCCATATGTTGTAAAGCGCTTTCGAGTAATTTTACTAATTATATAGGGCGCTATATAAATGTTGTATATTATTTAGTTTTTATTATTAGTGTTTAATTTAGCATTCGTTATTCATACTGTCAATAGCAACTACTGCAAATATACAACTTACGTATACTGACATGTATAAGAAGGACAGAGATAGTCTCGTTGTCGTAATAAAAATATGTTGCATTTCTTAAATATCAATAAATATGTTTCGTAAACTTGTGTTTGTTTTGTGGGTCATTAAAAAATCAGTGCAAGATTGTTTCTGTCGGTAAATACGAGACTTTCTTTCCAATTCACGGACGTTAAAAAGTCTTATATGAATGTTCAATAACACTGTTGTTATGGTGTGGACCAACTGACCTTGTATGTACCAAGTGACGTCTTCTTCTTCTCCAGCTTCCCCCATAGATCTCGGTGGTGATTAAATTCGATAGCCTTGGCGTCATACTGCCAGCCAGGATTGTACAGGCTTCCACGGATCTGGAAAAAAAATAACCAAACATTAACGCCAGGGTCAAAACCATCCGTTATTACCTCAACATTAATCAAATATAGTGATACAGTGACAAAATGTACACGTGCATATCTTAAACGGGATGTTGAAAGGACCTTGGAATAAACTATAGGGTTTTGATATGTATACTATTATATCAAAAGTGCAGACCTTTATCTTGGAAAAACTCTTGTGATTAGGGAAATTTCAATCTGTGGGAAAAAAAGAGATTTTAGGATAGTTTCAAAATCCAATGCATTTCACGGAAAAGTGACAGATTGAATGCATGGAAAGATAAACTCCTTCGAAACCATTACCGATCCGCCACTTATTGATGAATTCATATATACAAAATGTATATATAGTTAAAATAACATGATTTAAAAGGGAGAAGTGACACCCACCACACATTCCATCCCGGGGGACGGCCCGACGTCAATGTCAGAGTTTGTGTGGCCATTCTTAACCACCCCCTTTTCCGTCGCCCATAAACACTCCTCCCCACCACCTTCCTCCTCCCAACAGGGAAACACCCCTCCGAATACAAAATCTTCCATATGGATGAAAAGACGTTAGCAGACGATAAAACACAATGTAGACAATCAGGCTGTAAATGGTGGCTTAATGTAATCTGAAGTTAATTCTTCTGCGTAAGCGTAGATCGTTTCGTCAAAACAATGTCTTCGCACGAGCTTTCATCGTACCTCTGTAAGTTCTGGTACTCCCGAACTCGTAAACAATGGAAACCCTGTGCAAATCTTAGTTAGGTAGAATTCACAATAGAGCAGAAACTGTTTTCAATTTCATGAACAACCAATTACAAAGGGCCACAAACACAACAAGTTGTCACAAAGATCAAGATCTGATGCAACCTTAATTAGACTGTTGAATGTTTGTTCACATTAAATATCGAAATCCTCAAGGCAAATAACTACAAAATATAATCAAAGTTTGATGTCTGTCTAGATTTACCAAGTGTCAAACTCTCTTCCAGGTAAACATCCACAACAGATAATTAAGTATGCGTTCTCTAAAAAGAGCACTCAGCTGATGTAATATATGAGAATCATGCGTTTTTCGGATAGCATCTTCAGAGTCTGCTCAACATATGCCCAAACAACACAACCTTGTTTTAAACGTAAACTTCTCGTGTGTGGTAATGCATTGAGATATTTTAAACCACACTCCGTATATACGGATACTAAGTTTGTATGTAGAAATAATCCCAAACCAAAAGGCCAATGCGTGTCTTCTTCTCGCATGTGTTTTCGCAATATTTCACACAAAGGGTACTCCAATATCGAATATGACGGTATTTTTTTCAGCTTTGGGAATGATTTTCAGACAGTCTAATCCCATTCTGTCCTGCCTAAAGTAAACAGTTTGTGCTGCCCGGTGCAAACTTTTTCAGAATTACATCATTATTGGTGCACCTACTGCACTTTAAGTCCAACTGTGCGCCAGACACACGTTACAAAGTGTTTACAACATCAACAGCTTCTATATTTCTCCGTGAACTTCGACAACCTACACAACCAAACTGTGGTCAACAAGTACACCATACCTTCCTTGTTGTAATAGCACCGCAATCAAAATTAAAATGTTCCTATGCAATAAACGTGTTTTAATTCAATCTTAAATTTGAACGCTGCTGGTTATCACATCGTGCCAAAATCACGTCTGATATGGTTACACACGTGCAAAGAAATCAAACAAAAGTCGTGCATGTGTTACCATGCAAACAACATTCTTGTCTGTCAATGTTTCAAAATTCGATTCGGTTGCAAACGATTTAGTTGTCGTAATTATGCAGATGAGCACCGAGAGACACCATAGAAGGCAGCGTTAATGGTTAAAGAAACCTCCACATGCGAAAATATCGAGATCAACCAACTGTACAGCTGTGTTCGTATTTCAACACATGGTAAACTGTCTTCTAAATACATCGTAGACTTATATAATTCCTAAAGCCGCTGGTCGGTGTTGACGTGTCAGAAAGGTAGATGATTTTACGGATTTATAAATGTACTGTGTCTTCTCTGACACATCCAAAAACAATCTGAACATCTGATGAGCAACAACAACAAAAACCTAACGAAACGAAAGTCTGCTTAAGTCGTAAAATTAGAATACATTAACAGTTGCAGGCGTATCGAACCTGTTTTACTGAATCTGTTTAACAGTATGCAGATAAAACAGACCATATGCATGGCACGTATACGTAGTTCCCTGTACCTCCCAACTAAACCCCGGCTCCCAGCATCCCCTCGGGCCATTATCAAAGGCGATATGTTGTGATCGGGACGGGAAGATAACCCCTGTACAAACAGACCCCAAAACTATAAACAACCAACAAACTACTGCATCTAGGAAACAAAACAGCTGCAGAAAGAGCAACGCCATGCAAAAACAAAACACCCTGCTGCGATAGCATCAAAGTCTCGTCAATATTTCATAATCCTGTCTAGACCGCCTATCTGAGTCTCTGACAGCTTCGTAAACTATTTTGGAAAGTTCAAAATTATCTTTATCGGCAGAATTTTGTATCAGGTTCTGATCTTTTTTAAATCCTTTTACGAAACTGTACATTGTTTATAGAAACTAAACAATAAGTGATATGGTATTATTGTACCAATGGATCTAAATACGAAACCGTCATCAATTACACGACACAAGCTAACCAGCCTCTGATTAGGTGGACCGTGAACATGTTGCTGTCTGTCTCTGATCAAGCGTATTTTTCGTTGCCGGACGCGCGATGTGGGCGGTAGTGTTTCACGAGAGATTACGATTGACACTCGTGTTAAAAACTGTGATTCTGCTGCATTGTGCGAACGTTTCTGATGAATGTGTTGTTAATTAATAAACAATGACGCTTACCAGTCCAATTAAGATGGCAGCAGCAATGTTCTTTTTAAATATGGATGTGTTTGTTATATTATTTCATCTCCTTCTATTCTCCTTGAACGTTTCAGTGATTTCCATGTAAAGCTTTCCTTTATTTCATATTTTTCCTGGTTTTATCGAATTCGAGTTTAAGTTACGGTTTTGTTGACCCTTCGGTATTCTCTTGCTGTTTCTTAAGTTTACTGTTGATTTACTTCTGGTGCTGATTCTAATAACCTTTTAATGATTTGATTCAGAGGAATATACTTTCAGTTGCAGTTATAATAAACACCAACGTGCTCGTTCTCTGTAACCTTGGCAACAAATTAGCATCACATTATACCAATCAAAACAGCTGTTAGAAAGAACACACGCGTCCTGGTAGCTGAACGAAACCTTCCCGTATTTAATAAATATGGATGTTAAAGGAACATAATATAATTTAGATCTTTGGCGCTAGTTTTGATTGCTTCAACTATTACGTGAAACGACCAACTTTAGTTCTGATAATGCATTGCTTTAAAAAGTAAATAACACTTTAAATGTAAGATGTGTACTTTTGAAAAATTGTATATGATGTTTAATCACTTCTTGTTCTGAGAAGGTGTTGTTTGATATAGTAAAATTCACTTTAGATATAAGATGGTATTCATTAATGTTGATTGGCATAGTATACGATAGAACTGGAAAATATGTTGCTTTAAATGGTATACAACCACTTGAAATATAATAATTGGTATATGATATAATCACTTCAAGTCATGAGAATATTGGTGGGTTTTTTTAAATATTAAATATATACAGTAGTCATTATCTCTAGCTCCGAGAATGTGGTGCTTTAATTGTAAGATAATATAAACACATACAGCTCGGAGGAGGTATTGCTTTAAGTATGACAAATTATAACCACGCGACATCTAAATACAATGTAGCATTAAAACGCACCCTGTAATGTAACGGGAAAAGCTATTAATCGCGCTTCCTTCCCTCGGAAATTATTTAAAATTGAAACGTTATTGTCATTTTGTTTTCGTTGTTTATTTGATGAAAAGCAACTTCATAATGCATTAGTTAGTGTTCCTTCCCATTTATCGACGCAGCACGTCTGTGTTATGTCCTCTGGTAAATGCGCTATGTCGTCTCACAGTCTTACTGTGCTATTGTTTCCCTTTTTATATCGCCATTCTGCAGAGATACGCCAATAATACATTTCTATAGAGTACTTAATCAAATGACAGGAAATCGATATATGTTTCTGACAAGTGTTACATAACACACCTCACGTGGCTGGTGTCTATCATTATTACAATCCTGGCAATCAAAATGGACTATTGATGACGATGCATTAGTAATGGTATATGTAATAGCGCGAAATTCAAAACAGAATCGTATTAAATACATTTTTTCTTTGCTGATCAATTCATTTAATGCAATTGTTTTGGTTATATGGATTTTATTTAACAGGTACGTATTTCAGTTAGAAAGCGTAACCTGTATGTAGTACTGTTAAAGGTTTAGTCGTATTTATGACAGTAAAAACGCATACTGTATAGCTGATAATTTTTGCGAGAGATTTAATTTCCCAATATAAAGAGAAATATTAGAACACAGTTACAGCCGAATAATGGAGATAAAAATACCAATTCTATATTGTAATTTACTCTTAAAATATCACTTCTACTGTCAGTCAATTCACTCTTAAAGTATCATTTCTACTGTCAGTCAATTCACTCTTAAAGTATAATTTCTACTGTCAGTCAATTCACTCTTAAAGTATCACTTCTACTGTCAGTCAATTCACTCTTAAAAGTATCATTTCTTCTGTCAGTCAATTCACTCTTAAAATATCATTTCTACTGTCAGTCAATTCACTCTTTAAAGTATCATTTCTACTGTCAGTCAATTCACTCTTAAAGTATCATTTCTTCTGTCAGTCAATTCACTCTTAAAATATCATTTCTACTGTCAGTCAATTCACTCTTAAAATATCTTTTCTACTGTCATTCAATTCACTCTTAAAATATCATTTCTACTGTCAGTCAATTCACCCTTAAAGTATTATTTCTTCTGTCAGTCAATTCACTCTTAAAATATCACTTCTACTGTCAGTCAATTCACTCTTAAAGTATCATTTCTACTGTCAGTCAATTCACTCTTAAAATATCATTTCTACAATCAGTTTGTGCAGAAATCATGTGTCAGAAAAACTTGAATACAAAACTACTTCTCATTAGTAAATAAGAAAAATATAAAACATAATAATATTATCCTGTTTTCGTAAAATCGCCGAATGCGTCGCTTTAATTCAGAGGTCTTACATTATAATCTTTAGCTGCTTCAGAACTAATTAAAAACGCACGCCTGATCCCAGCATGTTGTTACCAGTTGTTCGACTTACAAAATTATTGAAATGGTCTGGTTTTTCTGTGAGCGGCCATATTATTACAGCCTTTTGTTTAAAGTTTAGTGAGCATCAAGTTAAAATCCAGTTTAAATAAAATGAAGGAGAATTCCAAGTTCCAGTTCCTTTCATAATGTCAATTGTTGTAAGTTCCAACAAATGTTTTCACGTCTTTTGGAAGTAAATTGTATTAAAAGATGTTTCATCGTTGATAGATACCAGTTTGACATGTTTTAACTTTTTCAAGCTGACAATACGTTATGTTTTGTAATTTATCGTTACCTCACTTTTGCCTGCTGCTCCCTATGATTGTAAGTTCTCTCACAACGGACAATCAGCCAATACGATGTATTAGGCTAATGTAGGTGTTCAGTGTTTCTAATGGTAAAGTTGTTTTAATTTTAATCATCTTTATAGTCGTTTCACTGTATTCATATAAGATGTAATTTAGTTATGACGGGTCGGTTTTTTACAAACATATATTACAAACATTTTGTTGATATGAAATTAAATGCTTCCAGGCACGGAGTAAATATCGATTTCTCAGCACTAACAATATCAATAAACACATATTCTACACTCTTATCTTTCTCAATACCAGAACATTCATAATTTGTGAAATGTTAATTGAGTTTCATAAGATTATCATATCTGATGTCAAAATACTTTTTCCAAATGTAGAAAATTCGATTTCACAAACGTTTTCATTTGTTTATTTGTCCCGTCAAAGCGCTGTCTTGCATGAAAATGATCAATTATTCAAGCGCGTCATTGAAAAAGACAATGGAGTGTTTCGTCTGTGTGATTTAGAATTCATTCAGCACGTGGATATCTAAGATTCTGAAAAACAATAACAAAATTTGTTTTTAGAGACTGACAATCAATCGATCGTGTCTTCTCTCGGGCTAACAAGGACACGTTATAGTGTGGGGTTTTAGTAAAGAGAGGCATTCAGCAGAATCGACAAATCTGTAATACTTCTCCATTCACCAAGTCCGGATTGGATTGATTCCGTAACAAAAATAGTGCTATACAAACTCTTTGAATCAAGTCTCTGTAATATACTTTGTATACCTTGGATTATTGAACTATATCATTTTACTACATAAAATATTTTCCAATTCATTCTAAGGTTGTGCCTTGTTATTTTGCTATATGCAATACAATACAGTTAAAGTTTCGTTTAAATATCTTATATCATTATCAACCACTTTAACCTATCTCAAGCTACATACAGTATGCCATGCTACATGGTACCGTTGTCCGACCGTTAACAATGAAACAAAGCACAACTAGTTGTAGCTTTTCTAGACATGAAACAGCCAACGTTTAGTATGACCATGGTCCTAACTTAATAATAGGATAATGTAATTCTTCAATCAATTATCACTCCAATAATTCTCTGTAAATCAGGGATATAAAAGTTAATCTAGTCTAATTTTCTCTACAGAATGTCATTAACATGCTATACCGTTTCAGCTTCCATGATCAAAAGCTCAAATTATGACATGCACAAAAGCTACTTCCGTATTGAATTTACATCCCTTTAAATGAATAACAACGTCTCATGTTTTCGGTGGTAGTTTTTGTTTCGAACCAATCTGAACGTTTAGGATTTTTTTCTGTTTGAAATTGATACTTTGGACACATGTGTGCAAAAACGAAACATTCTGGCCATTTAGTTCCATGACATATTTTCTCATTACGTTTTGATGATGGTTTCTCCACTCACAATTACGACATTCTAAGCGATACCAGACATCGCTCCTAAAGTCACTCCATAGTAGCTCTCACACGGGAACAAGCTTCCAAGACAACGACATAAACGTTACACTTTAATATCGATAATAACGTTATGATTCTGTGTTAATTAGACGATAAACGCAGTTCGTCAAACACCGTTACTGGATAATTATTACTATTAACAAAATGTTGTTAGTTTACTGTGTC